TACGAGTTTTATAAGGTTTTTATAAGGTTTTTATAATTTATTTTTACGCTATTTATGAAAGGTATATATAGTTTTATACACATATAAAGGTAATTTGTGTACATATTTATAAGTTTACACACATATTTGGATAAATTTCAACATTTTTAGTGGTTTTTTGATAAAGTTTGAAAAGGGAATATTTTTAAAAAGAGGTATATGAAAAGGGGTATTTTTGAAATTCCCCCATTATTATTTCCCTTAAATAACCTTTAAAATCTTATAAAGTTATTATTTCCTTTAAATATTATTTTTGGAATTTAAGGGTTATTTAAAGTAAAAACACGATACTACATAGTTTTTTTGGGAATATCATGTATTTATTCCAAAAAAATACAATCTCCAAAATTTTCGGTTTTATTTACTTGTCGCGGCTAGAAAAAAAAAATTTCGGTTTTAATTTACTTGTCGCGGCTAGAAAAAAAATGACTACCATGATGGTGTAGCAAAATTTACTTCATGATGGATAAGAGTTTTATAATACTATTTATTCCACTAAGACATACATTATTTTACCTTATCATTTTAAAGTTTCATATCAGATTATATTATACATATAGACATGATATGATTGAATTAGTAGCCCCAAGAGGATACTTTTCTAAACAAGTTCATTAGCTTGAAACAACTAACAGCAAATGATTTCTCAAAATTTGGTAGGAATTTTCCACTATGGTTAACTGGAGATGTACATATCTTACTTTATTTTTATTAAAATAGCAATATTAGGATAAAATAACCATTTCATCTTTTGATTTAGTGTCATCGAAATTGGTTAACATGTACGGTGGCGGCTATTCCTATTAAAGATATTCTTTTACTGGTAAATCTATTTAAAAGCTTACTATATTTTTTTTTCGCTTTACAAATAATGTTAATCATCATTTTCTCCAACATAATTTTCGTATTTTAAATTGTTTTACACAGAATGTATTATTCATGGAATCGAAATTAAAAAAAAAAAAAAACGGATGCGTCTTAGAAACGTATATACAATATTACAAATATACATATATACATATATAATAAAATACCAAACAAAAAAATAGTTCTCTTTTTACAAGAAATAAATTATTTATTTCACGTAAATTTTTTTTTTCTAAAAGTAATAATCGAAATTTGTGTAATATATAGAGTATGCAAGTAAAATAGAAGTTCAAATCCGGACTATTAAAAAAAACAATTCATTAAATACTACTTTGCAAATTACTCAAAATCCAAAAAAAATATACATTTAAATGTGAATTTGTTTTCATGAGCTTGATTCATTCTGTGAACTCCAAGTTGTTACCACCTCATGCAGATTTAGGAAGCCTCGATTAAGTTATGTATATTCAGAGAATGCTCCATGCAACATAAATGATATCACCTTTTTAAAAACAACATGCAATCTATCGGATTTAAATTGTTAAACCATTAAGACTAATTTACATGTTACATCGTTTTACGGCTTCCTTTGTTTTTTTTGTGTTGAAAACATCGTTTTATGTATTTCGCCAACTCTTTGTTGTGAATATCAATTTTTGTTTAGTACGTATATTTAGGAGATACTACTTATGAAACAAATTATCATGAGCTTCACTAGTGTAATTATGGTAAAATGATAGTGCGATACTAAGACTTTTAAATTTAGATGACTAAATCTCGATGAGTGTGATTATGATTGTTTAACTACGATATAACGTTTGCCTAACTTTGAACAAACTTCAGCTTTAATTACGCCTTAAGTTCATTGGTTTATAGATTGCCTTACGGCCATTGGTTTTTAGGAACCAAAAATGTAAATATATGTGATAAGCTTGAATTATAATTCCTTGGCCTAGAGTCTAGTAGCTAGATATTGTATAGCCCATCTTATAAGAAAATAGTGGTTACGTTCTGAAGAAATTTTGGAAAATTATTTGACTATTATTGTACACATATATATTTTGTTGATCAAAAACTCTTCAATTCCACAAACTATGAAGGGTTAAAAAAAATACAATATATATTAATTCTAAGATGTATGATAATGACATTGGAATGACTAGATATGATTGGTGCATATGCGAGTAAAAGAAAATTAAAACACACAAGCAAATATGGATTATTACAGAATATGCTATTTTTGACCCACCATTTTTTGAATTTGTCAATTTATTTTAAAATAATTGAAAATCTTCATCTTTTTGCCACTTAAAAAAACTAAGCATTTGGAAAAAAAAAACTATTTCAAAAATAAATTTAATAACAAAAAATATCCTAAGAAAAATAGAACAAAAAAAACATAATCAAACGGCGCAATCTACAAAGTGAAATCTAATTTTTTTTTATTTTTTTTTGGCACTATCGGAAAACTAATCTTAAAACTATCTATAATTTAAAAACTTTGTTTTCTTTGTAACAGGCCCAACCCGGCAACTGCATTTTTTAACTAGAACAAGATCCTCTTTCCCGGCAACTGCATTTTTTTCCGATTTGCTTTGTTTTCTTTATAACAGGCCCAACCCATTAAGAGAAAGTTTTAACAAATAAGGCCCGTTTTTAAAAAATGTTTCAGTAACCAAACAAGTACTAATAACACAAATCTAACAAACAAACCAAACATATAATTTACTTGAACGGGCAAGGACAAAGATATGAATTTTTTTTTTTTATTTTTTTTTGATAAACCCTATCGGCTGATCCGGTCAGTCCGGTAGAAACGCACCGAAATGCTTCAGAGTGGACTACTCCCCGAAGAGCCACCACACTGTCTATCCCGAGTTTGAAATGCTTTCCGACTAATGCCAGGGGGTAGTCAGGCCGCCTGCATTTCTGACTACCAGGTAAACCAACTGGGCCTTGGCCCAATTGACAGACTTCCCACACAACCATAATTTTTGTTTCCAGGGTGGATTGAAGCTGGGTTAGTTCCTTCCAACCTTTCCCCAATTCTCCCTTACCACTGGACCACGGCTGTGCGGGCAATATACTAGTATTTGTTTCGTGTCCCATCCTATTATATTGATATCAAATTGAATTAATAATATATAGTGAGATATGTTTCTAACTACATAAACTCATTTAAAAAAAGAAATTACACAAACAATAATTGAGAAAACTTTTGTTGTTCAGTATATCATCTACCTACCTTTTTTTTTTTCTATTCAACTCGTGTTCAAAGTTTCTGAAAACCCTCTTTTTTTGGGAATTTGAGGTACTTTTTTTCTTCTACTTCTCATTAATATAATTACTCATCGAGTTTGATACAATAATCTTAACTTAAGTATTGTTAGGTGAGTAATAATGCATGACAAAGTTATTGATTATTATATCTTTTGGTGTAAAAAGTTATTGAATATTTATAACAGGTTGGTCAAAGCCGAGAATACTAGATAAACACATTTGACTACCATATGACCATTGTTATGATTATAGATTCTAGAAGTTCAAAACAAATCTTAAGTATATAAAACATATATAACATATCAAACACCATATCTTTAAACTCGTCACTGTAAATTATAAAATAGAAAGAAGAATAGGATCAAGTCCGTGTTCTCTGGAGTACTTCAGTAATATAATAGTAGTGTGATTTAAATGTTATTGTTTGTTTCCTCATGCAAATGGGATTTTTCTAAAAATACTTAACCAAGTTCTTGTCTCTTCTTGGACCAAGTTCAGTTAACCCCTTTGTGGATAATGGACAAAGCTATCAAAACACATCAGCATTATAGTTGATGTACAGTGATAGTTCAGAGTATTTACACATGGTCTTGCTTTTTTTTCATCTAAGTTCATTTTAATATATGCTTTCTTGATATATATTGACCAATTTGGCCCACCATCGTAAAAAACAAAATTATTCTTCTTCTGTTTTGTTGTGCGATTCGCCGACGTTTCCACAAAACACGTGCTCAAATAAGGGTTGCGTACACTTTTTAATGCTTATATGATGTTCCATGTAGCAATTTGTTCAATTCAATTATTAGATGTTATTATGTTATCTATAAAATGGGAAAAATAATAATAATATATATAGAGAGAGACATACTAATATATTGATGTAAATTAATAAACTTTTTGCAAATGTGATTACAAAATTAATATTTTTATATATTAAATTATAATTATATATAATTTTTCTCTGACAAATTGTGTGATTTCGTATAATAGGAGTAAGGTTTTTATGCACGTGTTTTTTCAAATTAAAATTAGATCTTTGAATCTAGTCTTTACCTATGAGTAGTAATATTTATATTTTACTGGTTGTAGAAATTATAAAGAAACACTTACGATGATTATTTATTTCTTTAGTATAGTATATATAATTTTACCATTTACTGCCTTCATTTGATTTCGCTGCACTTAGTCAAGACACATACGCAAGCAAAACCCAAAAGTTGTGACAGATCGTTCTGGTGCCCTCAACTACCAAACAAATAATGTGACTATTACTTCTTTTCTAAAACGTTTACTGAAAAAACGAAAAATCTTGATAAAGAAGCATCACCTCATTGGAAGATTAAGTTTCTGCATATTAAAATCTTTTTATTACAATCACCAAAAAAAAACATTTTATTACTATTATTCATTAGATAATTACCCATCCTTATTAGCTTTTCACAAGAGAATCTTGTCCACTGCTTCCTTAAACTCATAAAATATTCAAAGGAAATGGGAAGAAAAAATTATACCACAAAACTCTAGAAGTTGCCACCTAATCGGAGGAAGTCAAGTCACGATTTTCATTAGACCACCTGACCAATCTTTTTCAGTTGGTGGTGTCTATTTTAAATCAAACACTTTAACTTATATTAGTATTAGATTTAGCCATTTAGGTCTCCCCTCATTTCTCATAAACCGTTTCCAAATCTAATATTATGTAAGAAAGAAAGGAAAAGAAGAATTGTCTTCCTATATAATCATGATTACAAATGTCCTTTTAAAGTTTAAAACATGTTTGAATACTCTAACAACACATGTTTAAAGAACTATCCTCATTACGAGATAAACAAGAAAAATGAGAGTTTTTTTTTTTGTTCTCTAGTTTGAATAAGACACAAAGACTTTTACACTAACTTGAGAAACTCATGTTACCACAAAAAAAAAAGAATCAAACATTGGTGCAACGTTACAAAACACAAGAACACATTAAAGACAGGGCTAAAATTAACCAACCACTAAAACTTCAAGGGCTCTAATCTTTTGTTTTTCACCAAGTCCCAATAGTTTCAGAAGAACCCAAAAGCTCTTCAAGGTACTGTTCTCCCAAATCCTCAAAGACAACAACATTTTCTAGTTTCACGGAGCTGTGATCAAAGTCATTGTCTTTTGTCTTTCTACTGGTCATCCTCCTTCTCATCGAGTGTTTCCTCTTCAACGCTACAACGGGAGAACAACCTTCCTCGTAGCTATACTTTAACTCCAAGAGAGATTCTTGAACTCTCTCCGCCGGAAAATTAAGAATCGCCGACGACCCTCTCATCGAGAAAGCAGCTTGGTCGTATGCTAGAGCCGCCTCTTCCGCACTTTCGAAAGTCCCGAGCCAAACCCTAATACCGTTTCGAGTTGAATCTCTTATCTCGGCCGCGTATTTTCCCCATGGACGTCGTCTTACTCCTCTGTATGACTTCTCTGACTTTCTTGAGCTTCCGGTTTCTTCCTCGGACTTGATCGGAAGGTCTTCCATGAAGTTTTGTTGCTTGGATTGCTCGATGAGACGGTAGAGAAGCATTTCCTCCGAGTCGTTCTCGTTGAAGGGGAGAGAGTAGTTGTTGGAAGAAGAATAGGAGGAAGAGGAAGAGGAAGAGGAAGAGGAGGGGAAAGATTCCGGAGAAGATCCCATAGAATATTCCGGCGAGAAGCCAGAGAAAGATGACTGAACAAAAGATGGATCCATGTCACCGGAGAAAAATGCTCTGTTTTTGGTGAATAGTAAAATACTCTGTTTTGTTTCTTACTACTCTGTTTTTGCTTATACTACTCTGTTTTCTGTTAGAGGATCGTTAGTGGATTGAAGAGTTCTATAAATAGAGAGAGAAAAAAAAAAGAGTGAGTAAGTGTATATGACAAATGTCCAAATTAGACATGAGTTTTCACTGTCTTAAGTGAAAGTGAAATGTCATGTAAGAAAGGGTGAAATTGTGATTTAGATTGTTTTAACATTCAAAAAGAAGAATTAAAAGGTTGCTTCGTGGAAGATTCGAGCAAAGACAATTTTTTAGCATATTTTCTTCTCCTCGTGTGTGTGATCTTTGATCTGTCGTGATATGTCTCATTGCTTTTGTACAGTTTAGCTTCTTGATGTCTTGAATCTTAATTAACATAAGATTGTGTACGTGTAAATGAGTATTGTTTACGTTATCTCAAAATTTTGTGTGTATAATGAAAAGTGGTAGTTGTTTTTTAATAGTCAAATTGTAAACGAAAGAATAGTTTAGGGTTAAGTGTATCATTTTCGTTCTTATCGTTCACATGATTCATCGAAATATTTGGTACTTTTTGCATCCATATTTAGTAGAAGGTACCAAAAATACATGCTACAAACTATAAAAAGATGATTTACACAAAAGTAGAAGTAATTATGTAAAGTATCATTGCAACTTTTTGCAGAGGCTGTTTTGTTAGCATAAAAATGGTAATTTATCAATTTAGTTTATATTTAAAATTTTTATGAAGGTTTTTTAATCCATAAATTTAATCATTGTTACAGTTTATAACACATTCAAATCAATTTGACTCTAAACGAAAATAATGATATTAGTAAAAAGTAGTTGACTAAAGTATTTATCAAAAAAAAAGTATTAAGTTTTATTTTTTTCTATGTAAATAAAAATTCCCTTCTAATTAGTAATTACTAAGCTATTAATGTAAATTTCTTAAAAGAGTAAACCACAAATAATAACTGAGGAAGTTCACATTCCACATATAGAAATAACAAGATCGATGTGAAAATGATTAAGCCCATAATCCAAAATTACTGCTGGATCAACTCAACTAGACAATTTTTTATGATTATAAAAACATCAAATCATGCATTATCCTATAATCTTAGGAGTCTATTCTTAATTAGTGTTTAAAAAACACCTAATGGCCCAAAAGCATAATGGTAAAATAAAAAATGGTTGGTTGGAAGGAGTCAAAGATACATGCCCCCTTGAACCCCAAACAACAAAATAACTTTGAGCCATCTCTCATGTTTATAAATATCATTTGGCTTTATTTTGCTTTCAACGTCTTTCTCAAACCCAAAAAAAAAAAAAAAAAAAAAAAAAAAATACTTTATGTGTCAATTTTTCTTCACAATTTTCTTTTCTCTCATCTTTTGGGTCTAAAATATTATTATTTTTTTGGGTAATTGGTAACATGACAAGCGATATAATATTTTTAGCGAAAAGATAAAATAATAAATAAATAATTAAAACGATAAAAAAACAAAAAAAGAGTTAAAAAAAATGTAAAAGTACTATTTTTAATATTATTTTTTATATTTGTAATTATTAAACGACATAGCCCATATCGTCGATGTAAGAACGTACAAATCAAAAACTATAATCAAAGTTGTAATAGAACACTACACATCTTCACATTTCACATATTCAAATTGGAAGAGAACACTACGTATCATCACATATATTCACATGCATATCCTGACCTGAATAGGGCACATTGTTTATTCTTTCTTAATGCTTTCCAAAATAAGTCACACAACTGATTAATTTGATATACATCCCGCACGTGTTCAAAGTTTTTGGCTCTATTTTAAACCTCAACATGGACATTGCATTACTTTTTTTGGCTTTACTTTAAAACTTCTTTAATACATACAAAAACGAATAAAATTATTTTGATTTAATTATACATCAGAAAAGCTGAAAAGTAAACCCAAGAATCATTGCTTTATTGTTGCTAAATAATTCCATAAGTTGATAAATTATCATGTACTGCATAGGAAATGGACCAAGTTTTTCTAAAATTTCTACTATTCTTCGTGATTGGAGTGCAGAGAAATACCGATATCTCATTGATAACTATATTCTCATATTACATAGAATTGTTAAGAACATTACATAGAACTGTTAAGAACATCTTAAGCCAAATGCATAAAATTTGGTTGATAATATAAAGCTTAGAAATTTGCAAATATAAAAAAGAGTATTAGTCAAATCAAAAACGAAAGAAAACAAAGTCTAGGAAGCATTCAATTTTGACTAAGGTGTTAGGCGTAAGGAGATAGCTACACATTCATGGTACGTGGTCATTTTATTTTTATTTCTTGTGATCATATATTATTTATATGATAAATTTCTACTACTCTATAGTCATATCTCATATCCAGTAATTTTCTTTATGAATAATTTTAAAACAAATATACTCAATTATTTAAGTATAATGGAGAAATTTTTCTTCCATTTGGATTTATAAAAATAATAATTCAGAACTCAGAATACTGTATGTTAAGTTAGCTAGGGAGATTAAAACTAGAGTAATGACTAATGAGCCCAATACCAAAAATTCATAAACAAATAACCTATATACCAAATGATATTATTCTTTTTACATAAAATAAAAAGAGATATATATTTTAATAATAGCATACAGTTTTGATTTAGTTAGAGAAAAAAATGATTTGTAGCTAATCAATTCTAAGAGGAGTTTATGTATGGTGGTTTCAAATGAAAAAAAAAGCTGAAAAAATAAAGATTCATAGAGTGTTTAGGAAAAAAAAAGCTTGGAAGCTAAAACATCAATTAAAACAAAGCATGTCATCAGTAGAAAATAGGTTTAGAATACGAATCGATCGATCTAAGACAAACTAGATCAGATGCGGTTTTGAAATTTTGGTTTTAGGAAAAAAACATCCCACACTAGGGAAACAAATGTTGTTGATACAACACTTTGATGAATTTATAGGTATACAAAATTGTGTGCATCAATTAAGTATTGTCGACGCAACACCTGTATTTATATGTTGCCTTTGCGTCTTCAGAACATAATAAATCAACTAAGCAACGTTGATGCAATGATTTGATGCGTCTTATTATCTTTTCTTCTCATTCCATTGATTTCTCTTCAACTCAGTTGATGCTTTTATACTTTATTTCGAAGCCTCGTTCTTCATAATGCATGCTCTAAATATAAATAATGTATGTACATATTAAGAGAGTATAATTTTGAGTCTATTATAGAGTTACAAGTTGAGTCCTATTACAAAATTCTAGTGTTACAAAATTGATAAGTTGAAATTGTTAAACTGAATGGGCCCTGACCCATGACAGGCCGAATAGTTTGCCGATTCAACCAAACAACATGGCCCACACCCCTCCCAAACTCATGTCAGGCCCAATAATTTAACGAACCATTCTTGATCTGCATGCTAATATTAACATTCGATAAATGAAGTTAACGAACCATTATTGGACTGATAATGTCATGCCTACACACCCCTCCCAGACCCAACTACCATCAGTCCAAACGGCGTCAGTTGCCTTTTTCAGGGTCATGGAAATTTTATTTTCTTTCTTGATTGATGCTTTTCATCCACTTTATATATCACTAGTCGGTTGTCCGCGCTACGCGCGGGAGTTTATTATGTTGTTTATGAGTAATTAGTTCGTATTTTATTTTCTACTTATTTTTTCACTATACCATACTTTACTTTTTAAAAACTTAAATTGTGTTTGTATAGATAACTATTGAGTTTTAGCTTCATTAGTTGTTGAGAAATTAAGTGTGTATAGTATAAGTCGAAGTGTGGGAGTAAATGGAAGTACGGTTGAGAATCATGTGCTATTAGGGTTTTTATCAAATGTAGATGTTAATATTTTGAGCCATTTTATATGTTGGCATGAAATTTGAACATGATTTGTGGGTTTCGAGCGGATTGTTATATTTTTAATTGTTTACATTATCTCTTTATATATTGTCATAATTTATTATTTTTTGTTTTACGTTTTCCTTTTTTGGATTTGTCGTACTTTATATCTCGTAATGATCATTTATATACTATTATATGTTTTTCTGATTTTTATGTTTTATATATTTTTTTTTGTTTTTTCATATGGAACAATTTTTAAATTTAACATATTAGTATAATTTACTTTATATTTAGTTTATTTCATTTAATAATTTTTTATTTTAATTTCCAATTTTATGAAATATAGTTAATTTTTTATTTTGTTACTAGTTTAACATATGTGTTGTATTGGAAAAAAATAGTTAAATTCATATTGGAAACTTTTAAAGAAATATTATTTTTATTTTTACCTTTTTATATGTTTATAAAAAATGAGAATTCATGTTTCGGTCCGACCTATCTCATTTATGTTAGAAAATTTTTTGAGACATAAATTAGATAGATTTATATTCTCAAAATTTCTTACTTTTGATCTATTCCCGTTAAATCCTATTATATTTAGGTTTACATTGTGTAAATATAATCATATATATATTTTAAACATTCACTAAAAACTATAATCTGTTATTTATGTATTTGTTAGTATAATCGATAATTAGTAAGTTTTTTAACTTTCAATCAATTATCCTTTTTAGTTTTATAATGTATAATATAAAAAAGACTTTTCATATTCATTTTTGAAAAACTTATTTACATAGGTTTAAATATTAAAATTAAATGATAAAATGGTATAATTAATTTTAAAAATTAAATAATAAAATGAGGTGGATGATGATGTGGCTTAAGGAGAAGTGAGAAAAAGTTAACTTTATATATATAGATTCTTTTTAGTTACAATATTCCAAAGTCGACCTTAATGCGTGAATATAAAAACTTCACCAAAGAAATGTATTATAGTGAGACTCGAAAATATATGGTCGGTTGCATATATATATAACGATAACGAATGGTGGAAGATGACCATTAAGATATACGTTCGTGTGACAAAGAGAATATTATATAATGGTCGATGTTTTGATGTTACGACGGGTATGTTTGAAAAACAAGTTATATCATCACTATTTCTTCATTTTTATTACATGGTTTGTTAAGTATTGTCCACCTATTTATTATGCACTATATACAAAAGTAATATTTCAAACACATAACACCAATATAATATAAACAATTCTGTCCAACGTAAAAAAATATATAGTCTATGATATGATACTACAATTGTTCTTTTTTGAATAACTATAATAAGACTCTTTTTACGATTCAACAATTTAATGAGAATATATAATGCATGGGATGCTTTTCTTTTACCAATAATGTCCAACGCAAAAAAAAAAAAAAATGTAGTCTATATATAATATTACAAGTTACAACTTGGGAACTTGGATGTAGAATGAATGGCCGAAGACATTTCTACGAATTAAAAGGTTGATTTGTTTCTTAATATTATTGGTCAGTAAATCAAAAGGTCTGCCTGTAAATATATCATTTAATTCAGTTTCTTTGCTTGTCAAAGGAACTGAATCTAAAGGGGAACTTATATAAAAGTGGTATCGTTTGACCAAGATTAAGTTTATAATTTTATAATTTAAGGGTAATCTATAAAAGGAACTTTTTTGACATTCTGAGTCATCAACCAAATTGCAAAATCTGAGTCATACATTAGAAAAGATGTTTTGCTAAACATACATTTGATTTGACTAAAAATTGTTAAAAAAGAATTATCATAATAGAGTAGTTGACTGTTTAGCTAAACACCAAAGACCAAATCCTCAAATCTATTACCTTATTACCTAAACCCTTGGATTAAGCTAAATAGTCATTAATTCATATAGAGTATTAATACTTTAATACTAGAATCCTACAAGTCCTCTAGAATAATGATTTACGTTTGTAGACTCACAGAGTCACAGGCCAAAGTCATGACTAGAGAAACGATGGGTAGAAAATAACAATGGAGCAATTTTTCAATTACTAAGTGAGTTACCAAAACTTCAAATTGACATTTGACACTAATCAAATATAACACTGTTGTAGATTATATATATATATATAGTACTATTTAAAAAACAAAGTTGTTAAAGAAGTAGATATTGTACTATGAAGAGAAAAAAATACTAAAATGTTCAAAGATAGCTTTAGGAATCAGAACTCATGTAACATCAAATGTAAAGTTCGAACAAAATATAATATTCTAGTTTTGGGAAATCAGAATCCCATCCCTGATTGAGGACAAAAGATTAAGGCAAAAGAGACATCTCATATATATTGGGTAAAAGCAAATGCAAACATAATCAGACATACAAACATTGATCTGACATTTACAAAATATAAAGCTACAATTTATAATCAGTATTTTTTTAAGTAATCTTGTGTTTTACTCCATTTGTAGAGTGCTGAGTAACCATTCCATTTTTATTGTTTTGTATGTTCCTAAAAAGAATTAATCGAACATAATTAGTTATAAGAGATATTGGATGAGGTGACCATAAGATACTACATAAAGAGGAAGTGACCATTAGTTGAAAATATATATAGAATAAATGACTTTAACACAAGATATATATATATATATATAAAATATGAAAATTAACATTAATATAAATAAAATGTCAAATACATTTATAGTTCTTGTTTTACTCCATCTTTTTTCACAAATAATGTCATTGTAACATGTTCATACAAATTAAGAAAAGTACACAAAATTTAAATGATATCATTTATTAATACACTAAATAATAATTTCTCTCTAACTAAATAACTCCAAACAATATTTTTATGAAACAAAATAAATGTTAAAAAGACACTATTTTATGAAATTAATCGAATGTTCAAGAAGAAGTTAGAATAATATTTCCTTTTTTTTTTCTAATATATTGAAGATCATTTTTGTTTTCATGAAGTGTCAATTTTTATGTAAAGGAGACATGTTACCCTGTCGTCACTGAATGCGTAGGACTTACGGGATTGGGCATAAATGATACTTTTGTCTATTCTATGGACTTTGAGAACTCAATACTATCTCCGAACCTAATAACAACAATGTTTTTAAGATTTTATTTCATCGCCATTGTGAAGATTTTTTAGAATCCTAAACCATCGATAACGACTGTTTCTGCATTAGTTACAATTTAGTTCACTCTAGAGTCAATTAAGTTACATAACTATGAAAAAATTGAAATGTGTAAACAATCAAATTTGGTTTGTGCAGTAAGCTGCTGGAACCTTCCTAGATGACAACAAATAAATAATTAATGCATTAAAATTTTAAAATAATAGCAAACTAAATATTAAATAAATAATATAAAGGGTATATATGGAAATAACAGTCAACGTAAGAATCGTCAAGTCACATGAAAACGAACGTCGACTCTGACTCGGCGAGAACCAAGCCTTTTGTATAAATAGACGCATTATATAATTCATAATCCATAGATCTCGTATTAAACACAACATTGCTGACCAAGCTCTTACAAAGCAAACCAATCTTGAACCAACCAAAACTTAAATGGAGAGCTCAAACAGGAGGAGCAACAACAGCCAACCACAAGATGATAAACAAGCTCGTTTCCGGGGAGTACGAAGGAGGCCTTGGGGCAAGTTTGCAGCTGAGATTCGAGACCCGTCGAGGAACGGTGCTCGTCTTTGGCTTGGTACGTTCGAGACGGCTGAAGAGGCGGCTAGGGCTTATGATCGTGCAGCCTTTAACCTTAGAGGTCATCTAGCTATACTCAACTTCCCTAATGAGTATTATTCACGTATGGACGACTACTCGCTTCGCCCTCCTTACGCTTCTTCTTCTTCATCTTCGTCGTCATCGGGTTCAACTTCTACGAATGTGAGTCGACAAAGCCAGAGAGAAGTTTTCGAGTTTGAGTATTTGGATGATAGGGTTCTTGAAGATCTTCTTGATACAGAAGAAAAGAAGAGACGAAACTAGTCGTGGTATTTTATGTGGCACTATGTATTGTGGTTATTACGTACGTACGTACGTGCATTATATGCATGTAGGTCGCGTTTATAGTACTTGATTTGGAACTTTTGTAACGTGCCACGACCATAAGTTGTAAGATAATTAAGGCGTACCTTGAGTTTCCATGAAATTAATATGAATGTTAGATGGTTTTAATACGTACACAAGCTTTCATTAATTGTTTTCCTATATATATATGGTATAATATGGATTCTATTCATTATTGTTTGATGAGATGATATTCGTTATTGTAGTCTCTTTCGCTAAAAAAATGTAGATACAGACCTCTTATACGGAACATGTCATATCTGATATATATATCCCTCCCTTAAACACAAACATATTTCATTCTCATAGATTTTATATTCATTATAACCTTCTTAACGGATCTATGGACGATGAAATGATATCAGTGTGCTAAAAGAGATAAAATAATATACAACAATGCAACATCTGTTTACCATTACCATATTCAATTTGAATATGATGAAATCGACGTTGTCAAATACTCAAAAGCTAGAAACATCATCGTCGATATGAAATTGTCGTAGCTAGATCTCTATGTAAACTTCTTAGTTACTCTGAATAAAGGCATCCGATGATCAGCATGAATTCTACATTAATACTAAATCTTGTTTAAGAATAAAGAGAGAAACACAGTTCTTATGTCAACTGACTTAGTGATGATCCCTTCTACGAGAGAACAATATATTGTAAAGTTAGTTGTTTAAGTATGAGAATCAAAATAAAATCAAGTTTTCTTATTAGATTCACTAAGATCTTTGACAGTGATTGGAAAGACTATAACTAAAACTCATAAACCTTATAAGTAGACTATTCTGAAAACCCTATATGTATAAAACTCTAAATATCATGATACTATATAACTTACTATTGAAAAAGGCAGCTTATATTAATCAAATAAAATAAGTAGAAAACTTTAAAATATATTGTAAAGAGAATAAGTTGATGCATCACTTGCCAATCCAGCATAAGAAAGAAATTCGAGTTAAAAAAGGGTTAAATTTCAAATGATTCTTGATATAGAATTTTCTCTATATTTTTACCGAGTACTGTTTTTTCTTTTATAAATATTGTTATATATCTCTCTCATTGCTAAAACAATTGTTTTGAACAATATTTGAATACCATATTACAAAATAGTGGTATAATATAATAAGTTCATTATAAAGATAGAATTTGTGAACGAAAACGTAAGAAAGAAAATCCTATAATATTCATGTTCCTCAGTTAAATATTAGTATTTTTAGTTAGATTGATAATACCTTGTTTAAATTTATGAGGCTTGAACCCATGACCTCAAACATAATATGGGGGCAGTTTAACCATTTTGACATTTATAACTTCAATATAATGTAAAAGTTTTAGTTTTTAATAGGTTGGTGGGTGCAACTGTCCCCACTTTCTTCTATGTGGGTCCGCCCCTGCATGAAAATAGACAACCTTCATAATTTCATAGTATAATATATGATGCTACGCTTTTCTTCATTAGCGATAAATATTTCATGCACAGTTCATATGGACTGTGTCTATTCAATTTATAACATTTAATCCCAACAAATCTGATATATATAACCATATTGTACATGGATAAATGAAAAAAAAAAAATTCGATATACTCACTACATATTTGAAGTATGCAACTAGGACATCGTAGCACATGCCAGTGGTGTAAATGTCATTATCCGTATTCAAAGCTGTATAATATAATCTTTCACAAAAAATAATATGTTGTGACTTGTGAGTAAGCTAAGTAGCAATATGGTTAAGGAGATCTTAACCGATCTAACGGTTTGCATCATTCCAAGTGTCTTGGTTATAGTTCTCTCCATAATCTAAAAGCTCCTCCAATAAACTATCGTCCAAATACTCAAACTCAATCACTTCCTTCCCGTTACCACCGCCTCCTCCTCCTCCTCCTCCATATTCCGTCGACGAAGGCGCCACCACATTCCCGTAGCCGCTGCTTGGACCATTCCTCATCATCGGGTACTCGTGAGGGAAATTGAGAACGGCTCTTTCTCCTCTCATGGAGAAAGCGGCTCTATCGTAGGCCCGAGCCGCTTCCTCCGCAGTGTGAAACGTTCCGAGCCAGACACGAGCACCGTGCCTAGCCGAGTCGCGTATCTCAGCCGCATATTTCCCCCACGGACGCGTCCGTACTCCTCTGTATTTCACCTCATTCGTGTTAGACGACTCTCTACGTTCCATAAGGTTTTTAATGTTTTTTTTTGTTTTGCATGTACATGAGTAGATAGGAGTGATAATTATTTTATACGTGGGAGTAATGTGAATCTAGTGGACGTTATTTTAAAGCACGTGTGTATTGAAAAGCCTCCTTTAAAATCATGGGGGGGGGTAAATTGCAAATTACATTTTATATTCGTGTGATCTTAAATAGTATGAGAAGTTATTTGGGGGAGACAAAAACAATTGTGGCTGCTTAGTAGACATTATAATTTAAGAAGAGTTAAGGGGCTAAAATGTAAAAAATGGAAAAGGTAGGGACCGTGAGTGAAGAAGTCCAATGAACCTGGATGGTCAAGGAGACGGCTAAAGTTGAAAGAAAGTATTTTTATGACGACTGACCAAAGATGCTCTCAGCCTCTCACTTTTGTTTTTGTTTTCAATTGACTCACGTGTCAACTTTGAACGCACGTGTAGTAGATTCTAGTCTTTTAAGTTTCAATTTGACTGACCACATTACCAAAGACATAGAAATTTGTGTGAATCTTAGTACACCTTTAATAAAGACAGGTAAAATTTGATTACACTTTGTAGTTTTTGTTAAAAAGCATACTATTATCATTGTGGTCATTGACCGAGAAGTTGAAAAGTAAGAGTATGGTAGATCTTAAATAAGAGGCCAATCTTAACAAATTTTAGGCTAAGAGTAGGTTAAAAGCCCATGGTTAATGTTGCTCTAAGATGTATGAAGAAGTTATGATTAATAATAGATATACCTATATAAGTACTATGTATGTATATTGGCGTGTTACAAGCTGAAGATTGGAAAGCACGGTGGTATGTGTTCCATGACCATTCAACGATACACCTTTGCAGTTAGGGTTTGCTCGAAGAACTCGCCCGCGATGTTGAAAATTTCACCCTCCAAATTTCTGGAATTTACATGAACAAGTTAATTACAACTAGTGTTTTGATTTAGAAGTTGGTGTGTTTACGAGCAAATCTAATTTGTTGAGTGGGTGAGTGTGGTGGATCTACGAAGTTGGTGTTCGAATATAAAGAAACTAAAGAAAAACAAACAATAATTTCTAATTAAGGGCTTAAGCCCTCTTAGTTTGAGATTGTTACCCACACGACCCAAAACTAGGCCCAACGAGTTGTATGTTTCTAAAAATAGTACAATTCTCATTTCCATTTCATTATTCTTATTTTTTTTTTTTTACCAATAGAAAGTAAATCAAAAGAATCGAATTTGGAAACTTGGATTTAGAAAAATGTGTAACATCAACATGTACGGTTTATAATAGTATAGGGAAGAGAAGATACTTGAAAAACTCGAAGATGCGGCGTTTGAAAACGCCAACGAACGTTTGGTTATTCCAAACTTCCAAGTGTCAAAAACAAAAAAAAAAACATGAATGAATGATTCTTTGATTCTTTCACTGTAATGATGATCATCATCATCATCACACTGCTTCATGTCTTGTCTTATCTTTTTCTTCGATTGGCCATTTTCCCCACTTTGTGTTTTCTTTTTGTTCTTTACTTTTCTCAAAGTTAGATTTTTTTCCCTGTCAAGTGCCAACTCTTTTGAGCCTTCGAGTTTTTTTGACCAAACAAGTCACATTTAGTTTGGCCTTGTATTGAGAGAGTATGTGGATACTGCTCGATCTAGAATATAGAATATAGACAAAACTATATACTGTAGTACACTTCTTTCATTTCTGGATCGTGTCTAAATTTTTTGGGGAATATATTAGGTTAGGGATATATATAGACGATTTTCATAGAATTGATCTCCTAATAGGTAATATATATATATATATCGACGAGTAAAATTATTCTTTTTTTTTTCAATAAAACTATAAGGATAATATCCATGGATAATATCCTTATAAAAACTTATTCATAAACCGATAATAATGGAGTTTTAAACTAAAAATATATAACTAAACTACAAATTTTTTTACCAATATACGAAAATATTAGAATTTTCTCTTTCAAAAAAAATACGAAAAAATTAGAAAGTTAGAACCCCAAGTCTTAGGATTTAAGGATAATGTCTTTGTGTCTATCATTAGTCATGAACATGTCAATTTATTTTAAAAGATATTTAAATTATTAACTTTGTTTTACTTTTTTTTTTGGGTAAAAGATTTTTTTTTTACATGATATACGTTTTGTGAATATCTAAGAAATTCTATACACTATCATATAACCCATAAAAGAAGATAGAGTGCTTACGATATACATTGGAGGCCATAAAAAATTTAGTTATAATTTTCTAAAAGTGATAATCAGCGTTAATCCCTTCCACAAAACTTCAAACTGAACATATTCCAAAGTGTGGCTAGCCTAGCATTCAACAAAATCTAACGTAAGGCGCTTAATATGACACAACATATACACACTTTTTTCAGATAGCATGTCGATGTGATCATTAATCTAATTTTTATCACAAGTTTCTTTCTATAATTCGGCATATATAGTTGCCCTAATCTTACAAACTACTATGTGGCTCCTATAATCTTATATATGATTTGACTAATGTATCTTAGCCTACCTATCCCAAAATTTAGGGACATATGCATTGCATGATATATACATATGCATTGCATGATATATACATATGCATACATATGCCCACGAAACGTAGTTTATTACAAACTCTACAGTAACTACTATAAATTATCAAACACATCACACTATTACGATAATGCGATACACTAATCTTTGGTAAATATCAAGATCAAAATGGTCGATGATGATACTCTTACGTTGCAACCTTTAACAACATACGATAACTCTCTCTACTACTAGACTAGTACATGCAACACTTCCATAAAATATTAAAATGTTAAAAACAAATCGGACCAATACAATACAAAAAAACTTTTATTTTTAATAAAGCGGTCCAAACACTGAACGATTCTCTTGACCCAACCAATTGGCTTAATGCGTGGCTTCCTAAAATCCCCAAAATATAATATTTAATTTTTTTTATATTTATTTATTAAATTAAACTGATTCCAATTTTGTTGTCTTCTCATGATAAAACCAAAGTGTTTTACTGTTTTTTTTTAAATTAAATTCGATATGTTTTTTTTCTCCTTCCGAGAATAATATTTATTGGTTTAAAAATTCCAAAATTCCCTCAAATCTTTTTAACAAATATTTTTCTAAAAACAAAAAGATATATTCTCAATCCCTATTATTTATATACACAACACCATATATATCTCTGTAACACAAGAAGAACAGTATCTCTCAAATTTTATAGGGAAGATACACTTTTTTGTGTGTGTTTGTGCGTTAACCCTTCTCTCATTCTGCATTCACTGTTCTTCTCATGTATCCATCAATACACGACGACGATGATCTCCTCGCTGCGTTTTGTTTCGATCAAAGGTTTGATTTTTTCTTTCTTAAAGGTTTGATTTTTATTGTTCAATTGTGATTTAGATTTCTGGGTTTCTCATGGTTTCCTAATTTCAATCCAATTTCAATAAATGAAGCCTCAGATTTTGAATTTTTACATACGATTTGGAATATCAAAAGTTTTTTTTTTGTTTTTGTTTAGGGGTCGTTTTGTTTCGTTAATCTGAGTTATTGTTACCTTTGAATCTGTAGCAATGGAGTAGAAGATCCTTATGGATATATCCAGACGAATGAGGAGAACAACATCTTTCAGGGTTTTGGGTCCTCTGGTGTGAATCTGCAGCCACAGCAACACGAACAATTCGATTCTTTTACTCAGCAAGTCTGTAGCTTTAGAGGGGAGAACGATGTAGTTGTTTATAGTAGCAGCATTGGATCATCACAGTTTGATTTGGCTGCTTCGTTTAGTGGAGTTTTGCAGCAAGAGACGCATAAAGTCTGTGGCTTTGGAGGACAAAACGATTGTTCTGCAGTGCCTCATTTGCAGCAGCAGGAAACAGGACAAGTGGTGTGTGGTGGTGTAGTGGAAATCAATTCTTCTTCATCTGTTGGAGCTGTTAAGGAAGAGCTAGAACATGTCGAGGAAGAATGCTCACGAAAGAGGTAGCCTTTTATCTGAATGCTCTTTACTTTTCTTTGTTCTGATGATTTCAAGAGCTGTTTTGTTTTATGTTGTGTGGTGTGTTTACTTTAGGTTGAAGTATTTGCAGCTAATGATTTCTCTTTGTCTCCACTAGTTTTGGATCTTGAACTTGATTTTGTTTTTAGTTTTGTAGCTTCGATTCGATTCACTTTAATTGCAATCTTGTTTTCTTGGCTAAACGTTTGTGATATTGAGTGATACATGATTCTGGTGATACTGTGATCTCCTTGTTTGGTTATCTACATGGATCAGTTTAGCATCCTTTTCTTTGTTTAATATTATTATGTATGAACAGGAGACGAACTGGATCATGTAGCAAGCCAGGAACCAAAGCCTGTCGCGAGAAGCTGAGAAGGGAAAAGTTAAATGACAGGTCTGTTCAGAGCTTTGCCTAACCCGTATGTTTTTGTTATTGGTTGCACTGAGTTGTTTTGCAGTCGTCTCATATGAAAGAATACTGTGTTTTTCAGGTTCATGGACTTGAGCTCTGTATTAGAGCCCGGCAGGACTCCCAAGACGGATAAATTAGTTATACTCGATGATGCAATCCGGGTTGTGAATCAGCTCAGAGGTGAAGCTAATGAACTAAAAGAAACCAACCAGAAGCTTTTGGAAGAGATCAAGAGTCTAAAGGTTGGTCTCTCACTTTGTCATAAAGCCTAAGGTCATAAATCTTAGCTACCTAAACCATCTGCTTATGAAGCAAGATTAAGTAGTCTCTGTAGCTTCTTCTGAAGAATCTTTCTGGCTCATAATCATTATGTTTGGTAACTTATCTGATTCTACCTGTCTGGAAATAATAGGCCGAGAAAAACGAGCTACGGGAGGAAAAGCTGGTGTTGAAGGCGGATAAGGAGAAGATGGAGCAACAGCTGAAATCTATGACGGTTCCATCATCGGGTTTCATGCCCTCCCAGCATCCAGCAGCTTTCCATCCCAATAAAATGGCGGTTTTCCCGAGCTACGGTTACTATCCAAACATGTCAATGTGGCCATTCGTCAATCCTGCTGGCCGTGATTCATCTCAAGATGTTAAAAATCTTCCTCCTGTTGCTTAATCTTCTTTCTGTTTTGACTCATCATTGATCATAGTTCAGATGATTCTTTATCACTAGTTTTGCAGTAACCATTGGGGGAGGCATTAGAGAGTTTTATGATTATTTTTTTTCCCGTTTGTCAAATATTGAGGTGCTATTTTTGAATAAAATTGTTTGAGAAACTTGTCTAATATTTTTTGGTTTATGTCTCTTGATCCAATTGTAAAGGTGGAAACAGATCATTGTAAGAATACTATTTTGTAAATTACGCAAAAGATAGTGGTCCTTAGTAGAAGCATCTTAGCCACTCATGTTTAATCTAATTAATTCCCAGCCGTTGGATCTTTCCCATCTTGTAGCTTCGAAGCAAGGCAAAAACCATCACCAACCGAATTGTAAATCATAAATAATTTGGATCCCAAAAACGAAACGTAAGATATTATCTATTTTAGTACAAGTATCCATAATTGAAATGTCCCACAAACAAAAATGTAATAAAAATGAGAGCATTGTTCACAAATTTCAAAGATCTTGTTACTTAACATAGACATTATAACATCATCCCAAAAATCTTTGTACAATGAGTTAATTTTCAAAAAAATGGTGTAAATCGTATTCTATTAACAAAATCTCAAAAGGGCTTGTCTATATATATGTATGGAAACATTGTACAGATGTTTTTTTACTTACGCAGAAGCAAGTAACCAGAGAGTTGTAAGTGAAGAAATGGCGATTGTGATCCAACAAAGGAAAGCTAAAGCTACAGAGAGTTGGTACCTCCAACACTGTGCTTCGAAACTGCACCTTCCTAAGTCTCCAAAGTATAAAACTGTTATCCCCGCGGACGACGAGGCTCCTGCTAGTGACAATGTTGATGTTACCTGTAAAAGAAGATGATTCAAGGTTTTGATCATTTAGTAGAGAGAATGAGAATGAGAGAGAGAGAAGGAAGAGAAGGAACCTAACCCAATCTCCAACTACAAAGAGACTGACTAAAACCGGACTAAGAAGCGTTTTCTTTCTCACTAAGGCGAATGTGTCAAGTATTGCTAGACCAAAACTCCATATCACTTGCAGACCCATTGCTGCAATTAGATAGCTGCAACCAAATATTCCATGTGTAAGAGCATATAGGCAATAACATATACATGAGAAGTCCACATTGTTTTAACTCTATACATACTAGAGAATGCTAACTTGTCACAGAATCAAAGATTCACATATCTGATGTGATTTACACGTTTTCAAGATCCTTGAACTTGAGAAAACAAAAGAAACAAGCAGAGCTTTCGATTCATCATGTCTAGTTTCGTAAAATGTGCAGAGAATGCTAAATTGTCTTGAAGGATCTATACAATCATGAAGCAATACACAAATAAAGCTCACACTTGTCAAGAACAAGATCTTCGAGACACCTAAACATCATACTCAAACTCACTCAAGAACTGATTCAAAATCCTAAACACTAAAATCCAGAGGTAATAAAAAGAGTTCAGATTCTAAAACAACTTTCTCGGGATTGGATCTGTCTACGATTCATCTAAGACTATCCAAGAACTCAAATATACTAAACTCTGATCAAACAGAACACAAGTAAAGAAGAAAAAAAGCTGACTTTACCAGAAAGCAGTGAAGCTGAAGAATCCACCAGAAGTAACCATATAAGAAATCGAACCAGCAGCAAAAACACACTGAGAAATTCTCAAGACAAGACCAGTCAAAGTCCCTGGTGTTCCAGGGATATCTATCATTTCTCTTTCCACAAGATCACCCCAAAAGAATCTCCAAGATCAACACAAAAACCAAATCTTGAATTATATAGTCTCCACTACTTCTCCGAGACTAAAAAGTTCAGAACTTAACCACACAAAAAAGCTTTCTTGAAACTCAAGACGATTTTTTTCCGGCGAGGAAACAAAAAAAGGAAAGATTTTTCGGTTTTTTCAAGGTATGAAATTGAGGAATCAGAGGAGAAAAATATTGAAAATTTGAAGACTTTTATGTTTCTTTTTGTTGATTCAAAGAAGGCACATAGAGAGGAGGAGAGAAGACGATGAAGAAGAAGAACAAAAATGCGCAATTTTTATTGTTTATTTGCAAAGTGGAAATTTTTATATAAATAGTAAAATAGCTAATGGTGAAAGTGATGGACAAATTATTTTTTTGATTTTTATGAATTTTTAAATTCAATCTTTTGGGCTTTAGCATTGTTGGAATTTCACTTTTTTCAATTTGGAAAATTATTTTTTAATGTTTTGATTGATTCAATATTTTTTTGATTTGATCAGGCTTTTTTTGGCTTTTTATGTTGTTTGTTTATTCAGTTATTGTTAGTTTATTACTCAGCCAGAATATGTCCAACTTTACGGCAATCCTACACAGAAAAAATAAAGAAAAATCTTTTGATTACAAATATAAATAAAATTTCTTGTATAAAACATCAAATTCTTATTATTGAAACTAGGGAAACAGCATTATTATGCATAATTTATTTAATTTAGTTTTATTATTCTCTCTGTTTTTAATTAGTTGTCGTTATAGAGTTAAAATTTTGTTTTAAAATAGTTGTCGTTGTATATTTTCAATGCAAATATTTGGTAAAATTCTAATTTTATTTTATTTTTAAAAGTATTTTGATCAGTAAAAATGAAAAATGTATTAAAAAGGATAAAATAAAAACTTTAATTATTTTATTAATTTATGTGCAAAAACCTTAAACGACAACTAATAAAACAATGGAGTAATAAAATAAAACATAATGTATTAAGCTATTGAACTTGTACGGGAAATGAAAATACAACAACATCATAATCAAATACTTGATTTTTTAAACATAACCAAAAGGAAAGCATCACAAATCTTCAAATTACACTAAGAGTTATTGAGAAAAACAAAGATCACTTGTTTGATCGAGACACAACAAGTAAAGAAGCTAATTTGCCTCAGTTAATTTTTTGCTTCTTGGACGTCTTCTCGATGAGCACCTCATGTCTATGTTTCATCGCAATGAAGAAGGCCAATGCAGCTACTATTCCAATACCCTGAAAATAACAACAAATTTTTTAGTTTCCGATTATATTTTCCTGCCTAAGTTATTACTTTCTTAATGTTAACTAAACATTCTTGTTTTAGTAATTCTATTACCTTAATAAACCTCATGAACAATGTGTTAAACTCGCTTGGTGTGAACAGAGGATTCAAGATGGCTAGTCTTGCAATCTGCAGAAACATAACCACCAAGAAGGTTATGTAAAAGAAATGACACTATATAATTTTCATAACAATTTTGATTAATTTGCACTAATTAATTTATGATTATAATTATAAGAAGATTATCCATTTTTGATTACCTCGTTAAGTTGATCGATGAATTTCTGGCGCGATTCTTCGTTAACTATGGAGCTATATCGGCTCATGGACGCTCCACCATCAGCTGATATCGTCTCGTTCACAAACTAAACATATACATTATCAGCTGTCTTATATATATAATCATAGATTACCAAATAATAGTTCACTTTAAAATGTGGATCGGGTTGCTTACAGCTTGGAACTTCTTGTAGAACATGGTGAAATGATCTCTATCAAATTCGTGACTGTAGAAATCGTACACTATAGGGCTCAAAATGGCTTGGTATACAAGCTATAAGATCAAACCATATGCAATATTTAAGTAATTTCTTTGGTTATTTCATATATCAAACATAAGAGTATACGATAGTGAGGTAAATTAGTGTACCAAGATCAAAGCTCCTATGTAGGCGTTGAAGATGAAACAGATCGCTCCAAGTACCTTCATCACTATTCCAAGAGCAACTATGTACTTTGCCTACAATATAATTACTCATAACGCAAATGAATAAAACATAAAAAAAGTTGTGTTTCGTTAATGCTTAGGGAAACTAAATATATATACCTGGTTCTCAAGAAAACCAAGTTTTGGTCTTAACTCATCGGCAGCTACTCCACCATTATTAAGGTCAAATCCATAAATCCTTAAGTAAAAAAACAAAACACATGAGAAGTATAAATCACTAGCTAGATGAGACTAACAACAATATATTTCACTTAGATCGAAAATGTTGATTAGTGCTTACTCTCTCAAAGCAGACACGATGAACGCAGATGCAAAGATGAGTCGACCGGCGTGGATAATATACGGCATTTTCTCGATCCTTTTTCCAATTTTAACCACCCTTTCTTGAGGTTGCTCCATGTTTTGAACCACACTTTCTTGGATTTCCTCCATGTTTGGCCCTATTGGGGTTGAGGTGTATGAGACTGACGAAGAGAGTTTGCTTAGATAGAAGATGACGAAGTCCTTAGATCACCAAGGAGACGAGTTTGATGGTAAATGATGGAATAATTGAATATACAAAGTATAGGTTATATAATTATATAAAAAAGACGGAAGAAGAACAGTACTAAACACATATTAAAAATGACTAATCTCTCTATGTCAAGAAATAACATATTGTTTAAAATACTACGACGACTTGTGATATAAAAACTGACTTCCTAATATGTGAAAAAAATGACCCTACGTCTGTATCCTAATCATAGATTAATAACAAAGACTTGAAGGTTTAAACCTATTTTAACATACAGTAAAACCTCTATAAATTAATACTCGATAAATTAATAATCTCTATAAATTAATAAATTTCTCTGGTCCCAAATTGGGACTAGTGTAATATTATATACATTTCGATAAAATAATAAGATAATAATTTTTTGAAAATCCTTTGTAAATATATGGTCCCATCAATATTATAAATTAATAATTAAGTAAAATTTTCAAAATATATGTATATATAGATACATTATTCTCTTATTTTTTTGTTAGAGTTTATTTCTAATATTTTACTATATAAAAATTGTTAGAATTCTCTTTCAAGACATAATAATTATTATTTTCTTTGTTATTGATTATATAAAATAGTTTTTTTATCATGATTAAATATATTTTTAAATATTTTTTTGAAAAGACTTTCCAAATTAGAAAAATGTCTCTATATCGATAAATTAAAACTTATATAAATTAATAGATTTTCATGGTCCCAACATTATTAATTTATAGAGGTTTTACTGTAGTTTTAAAGAAAATGTACAGTTATGCGAATGCTAAATTAGTTTCTCATCAAGTTGACTTTGCTTATACAAAGATCAGAACTCAGTTTATTCTATTTTGGATCAGAGCGATCGATCGTAACTTACATTATTCTCAATTCTACATAGAATATTTATTCATAATTTAACTGACTAGGGATAGTTTGACAGTTACAATCATAAAATTGTGAAAAGTCATTAAGAATATGTTTTTTTTTTTTTTGTTATTTTACTAGGCCCTAGCTTGTGGAACTAGTGGTTACTTTCAAAATACAACTTCTACAGAGATACTCAATACACCGCAATTCTCAATCTATACAACAAATCAATCGGTAGATCAACACCGGAAAAAACAGGCAAAGATACAGATCCTACTCGAATTCGTACTTTAAAAGCGAATTTACGACACTTAGCACACTATAGGTCAATGTCTAAACATTATACATTCGATGTAGCGAAAGAAAAAGACGATGTCACTGTAACATAAGCCCCGTTAAGTTAAATCCGACAAGGACAAAGTGAATATCTGAGTCGTGAAACAATCGGCAATGATATCATCGGCGGAGAGACCACGAAGCTCCACACACGCGTCTCAGCTAATGGGAATCTCTCCACCGTATGACTCTCTCGTTTCCGAGGCCGCATCTCTGCGGAGAGTTGCCCGGGGACTTTCCTGGGTCGAGACTTAAATAGCCCTTGTGACCCATTCACCTCCAATGACATTTGTAACTATTTCCAAGTTTTCAACTACATATATAAACAACTGATATGTTTTAAATGACCGATGTGGGATGATCTGTGTTATGTTGTGTTGTGTTGTGTTGTGTTATACAATCTTCGCTACTTTTGTTATGTTGTGTTTTATCACACAATTTACTTATGCAATCTGGTTTAATATTTTACAGGAGTTAGATGTATATATCCAATCACAAAATACGTATTTTATATGAAGAATTGACTCATTGCTCTGTATTTTTCGCTTATTTCATTTGTTTTGAATATTCATAATTCTAGACTTCTAGTCCACATTTTTTTTTTTTATGAACAGACCAATAAAGATACACATAACTTGAATCTGTATAGTAAACCTGCAAACTAACAGTAACTTAAAGTGATAGAAGAGTACTAAACACTTATTAAAATGACTAATTAATCTCTATGTCAAGAAATTATAACATATTGTTTGAAATACTACTACCTGTGATATAAAAAACTGACTTCCTAATATGTGAAAACAAAGACCGTCTGTATATATCCTAATCATGGATGGCAATTAGTTTCTTATCTTAATTAGAAGAACATGAAAAATAACAAAAGACTTTGAATGTTTAAACCTCTTTTAATATAGTTTTAAATAACATGTACAGTTATGCGAATGCTAAATTCTCCTCAAGTTGACTTTGCTTATACAAAGACCAGAACTCAATTTATTCTATCTTGGATCAGAACGATCGATCGTAACTTACATTATTCTCAATTCTACATAGAATATTTACTCATAATTTAAATTGACTATGGATAGTTTGACAATTACAATCGTAAACTTGTGAAAAAGTCATTAAAAATATGTTTATTTTTTTTGTTATTTTATTGGCTAGAAGCCTAGAACGTGAACAGTTGTGATAAGGTGGTCAATTTTATATTTAAGCTACAACTTCTGTTACATAAATTTAGCCTACATGATTTATTGTAGCAACATTTATTCAAGACTCGTATAATAATAAATATAACGTTTTTGTTCATTGGGTCAAAAGATGAATCGAATCCAGTAAATTATAACATAAACACGACGCATTTGAAATGGCTTATAAGTTTTTTTAGTCTGTTTTAACTTTGGATTGCTTCTTGGCCTTGTTGAGTCGATGCTTCATATCAACGAAAAATAGCAAAGCTCCTACTACGGCCAATCCTTTGAGGAAGCTTAAGAACTGACGAACAAACTCATTATTTTGTCCGAACAAGGCAGGGTTTGTCATAGCGTGATCCGCAAGCTACACAATACACAACACATACCAACTAAATCATCACACAGTGTTATCACAAGCTACAATGATTACATGTAGGCTTCAAGAGACGCACCTCCCGGAATTTTGATTTGACTTGCTCTATTTGCTGCTGGTCGAAGTCTGATTTGTAGAAATTGTATGCAGTTTCGTACGACACAGTTTCGTTCAGAATCTAACCAAACAAGCCAGGAGACATGACAATAAAAATGGGATTTTCATAAGAAACTAAAAGTACATTGAAAAGAAGAAATATATAAGTTGTTATATATATATACCCTTTTCAATTTGTGATAGAGCAGTCCAAATTCCTCAGTGTCGATACGATGGTTGTAGAAATCATGGTGGATCATCGTCGCAATACCTTGGTACATAAGCTATATGCACTCACACCAGAGATTTGGAATGAGACACAAAGCATAAGATCTATAAGTGATGCAACATATAATTATTTGTTATGTTTTGGCACTTAATTTTATTAAGACTAGTTATAGTTAAAGTTTATGTAGTACACCAATTCATGACGGTCCAATGGTTGAAGGATTCACTATGAGGCTGTGAGTCCAGGATTCTAATCTCAATTCATAACTCGCATTTCACATGTCCAAAGATTAGTCTTAATTAACTTTGGAATCCTCTCTATTAGGTTATTATATTCAGCAATTTCTAAACTAATCGGATACATTTTGGAGCTTCCGATGCATCAATAAAAAGAAGAGAGATCCATATATATATAAGAAAGAATTGAGAATTAGTACCAAGAGGAAGGCTCCAAAGAAGCTGCCATAGATAAAGATAAGTCCACCAAGCGTCTTCACTATGATACTAACTATCATAAGATGCTTAATTTGATCTCCTGAATAACCTAACTTTGGTCTCCAGTAATCATCTCCTCCTTCCCAATTGGATTTGAGCTCCATATAGCTAATCACAACAAATGTCACATTTTGTTAAGTTTAATCCACCAGCTTAGAGAAATATCAAGAACCTTCTTATTGTTAAAACAGAGGATTTTCTGATATATTGTTTTTGACTCAAGCAATCAGAACCCAATACTCTTGACTTAGATCTATTTGAATACCAAGTAAGAAGAATGATCATGATGATTCTTACTCATTCCATGAAGTGAGAAAAAAAGATGAAGCAAAGAGAGTTCTTCCAATAGCGTCAATATGAGGGAAAGAAGCAACTTTTCTTCCAAACGTGTTCACTTTTCTTTGCACAACATCCATTTTCGATTCTTGCTATGTACCTTGAAGAAATAATAAGCTTATGATCCAAATATAAAGAAAAAAACTTAGGAACTTTTAAAGATTTTGTAGAAACAAAGTCTTACTCTTCAGCCTATGGAGGAAGATTTGAAGACAAATTGAGTTTGTTGATGATGAATTTGCAGATTTGGTCTTCTTCCGGAGAAAAGAGTGGATGCATGCACGTTGTTTTGTTTTTTTCAAGCTTCTTGATATTTAAGAGAAAATATATTAATTACATCAAGAACATTTAAAAAAGGGAAATTATGCTTAAAAATGTATGGATGTGCATACCATATTTCATTGACGTATGTATAGGGTATAATATTTATTAGTCTATACCATGTTACTGTGTATGTCATGTTTTGTACTTGTGTTTGTCTTGAGACTTTATCATAGGACTGGACACTTGGCTATATAACTCGGCAAGAGTATTTTATATATTTAGCTTTTTCTCTCTTCTCATGATGCCACCTAAACATCCATGTAAGCCACATTTTTGTTTGAACATTAAAATAAATTTAAAACCTTCATTTAGTGCATATTTATGTTACTTATTTAATTACTAAAAAGTTTATATAAATAAAAATAAATTATATAAAAAAATGAAATGTTAAAATAAGAAAAACAATACTTTAATTTTTTATTGGTGGTAATAATATAATTCAACTTTCATTTTAAATTGATCATAATTTAATTTTTAAATATGTTACTGAGTTTTAGAATGGAAGTTTAAATTTATGGTAGACTAAAACAACATTTATGTAATTGTATATATAAAATTATAAAGAGGAAAAATAAAATGAAAGTTAAATATTAGTTTATAACATGATCAAAAAGAAAAAAGGATATTTCATAAATTGAATCAAATGCTTTTAATCCAAATTTGAGTATTGAAAGATAATAATTAAAGAGAAAATAATTATAATATTTTTTGAAAATCAATTAAAAAATAATAAAATATCACAATATGAATAAAAAATCAACAAAACAAAATTATAAACCTCCCGCGCGGAGCGCGGGTCAACTGCTAGTTGAATATATAGACACAACAAAACCTAATCATTCGTAGTTTAGGAAATTCTAAGATGGAATCAGATCTCATTGAAGGGTTTTGTGGAAAAGAAAGAAGTAGAGAGATGTGTATATGTTTTACGTTGCTGATGAAGAGAAGAGAGGAGAACACTTGACGGTAAATTCCATCTTTTCGTATATTATAAAGTTATAGGAACAATATACTTTTTTTTGTAACAGGCTTTCTATTAAATGCAAAAGAAAAAAAAAAGATACAAAAGCCCAGCTTTAGTGTTGTAAAAGGCCTAGCCCAGAAAGCACAAAACAAACATTGAAAGGATCGTACATTGAACCTAGAGAGTAATAGGTTACCCTAGCCGATAGAATAGTGACGGTCATTGTCGATGGTATCACTCAGAGGAGAACCAGCGTTGAAACATGAGCGAAGAAATGATTTGATTTACCTCTCTGTAAGAGGCAATTCTGTTCCTGATAGTAGCATCAATCGTTTTGAGGAGGTCATCCACAGCTCTGAAGGAGACGCTATGGAGACGATGGTTCCGCTCAGCCCATATGGTGTATAACGAGCACTGCCAAGCAAGTAGGGTTAACCTTCGTTGATCCTTAGGGCCACGCATCACTTGCAATTGGGATAAAGAAGCTTCCCAATATCTCATCGGTTGCAACCTACATCGAGCAGCAACAGATTCCCATAGGGTCCAAGAGTAAGAGCATTCAAACCAGATATGATTTCTGGTTTCAGGAGAGTTGCCACAGAGAAGACAGAGAGGATCCGTTTGGAGGCCCCATCCTAGAATGCGATAACGGGTTGGGCAACGGTTCTGGATCAGAAGCCATGTGAGAAAGCTGTGTTTTGGGATTGAGCCTGGGAACCAAACCACCTCTTTCCAAGGAACAAGGGGTAATTGTTCACTAAGCAGGGAGTAGACTTGACCAGTTGAGTACCTTTGTTGAATCGCTCCATCCAGCTCCCACTCATAGTGGTCTTCAGAATCAGTGAGGATCAAAGTAGTGAGGAAGATATGGAGAGATAGTTGTTTGTCCGATCTCGGATTTGGTAGCATCCAAGTGCCCTGATTGTACAACTTTGATAATGTAGTATGCTGGCGTATTCCCATTCTTGCATCCGCACCACTCTGAAAGTAGCTCAATAGCTTCCCAAATGGAGACCAATTGTCAGTCCAGAACCTACATGTAAGCCCATTTCCTACTCGCAATTTTATCCATTCATAGGTTACTTCTCTGTACTTCAACAGCTTATTTGCCAACCATGAGTAAGCAGGTCTTTGTTTCATAGTCCAGAAGTTGTTTAGAGACCCACGCAGAAAATGAACCTTGTACCAAGCCACCCAAACCGAGCCCGATCTAAAGAAGAGGAGCCAGATTAGTCTTATGGAGCAGGCCTTATTCCAGATGGTAAGATCTTTGATCCCCAAACCTCCCTGATCTTTAGGTTTTGTCACTTTCTCCCAAGAAACCCTTGCTGAATGATGACCTTCCAAATTTCCTTTCCATAAAAAAGCACTACAGATAGAGTTTATTTTACGGATGCAGAGCTTTGGAAGTACAAAAGTGGAGCACCAAAAATTAGTGATCCCTGCAATGACAGTGTTAATGAGTAACAACCTTCCTGCAAAAGATAAGAATTTGGTAGTCCAACTGTTTATTTTTCCCTTGACTTGAAGCAGTAGAGGCTCACAATCTAGCATATTAAGCTTTTTTGTGCACAGGGGAACTCCAAGATAACGAACAGGGAGACAACCAAGGGGGAGACCAGTAACCGCAGTGATAAGTTCGGTTTCTTCAACAGTTAGCCCTCCACCAAAATATGAAGACTTATTTATGCTAATTGCAAGTCCTGATCTGTCTTCAAATTCTTTTATAACGTGCAGGACAGCCTGAACAGAGGAGAGAGTGCCATCAACAAAAATGAGCAGGTCATCAGCAAAGCAGAGGTGGGTTAGTTTGGCCTTATCACAGTTGTGATGATAGTTAAACTTTCCTTCTTCTGCCGCTTTGTTCAACATGAGAGAAAGGGTGTTCATTGCTATAACAAAAAGGTAAGGGGATAGGGGATCACCCTGCCTAAGACCTCTTTTACCTTTGAAATAACCATGAACCGTACCATTATAACCAACCATGAAGCTTGGTGAACAAATGCAGGCTCGAAGCCAGTTCAAGAATGGGAAGAGGAAAAGGAAATCCTAGACCATGAAGACACTGGAAAAGAAAGTCCCAAGAGACCGTGTCAAAAGCTTTAGCAATGTCGACCTTGATGACTACTCTCTTTGGACCCTAGGAACAATATACTTGATCCAATATTTGTAACTAACATGTAATTTTAATTGTTTTCTTTTTGAGATTGGTTTATTTTTGGTCAATGTAGTTTGGTTAGAAGACAGAGACCACATTGTTTACAATAATCTCACTACTATGCATTTTCTTCTTAATTAATGACAGATAATAGACACCTACATGTTCCTACCTTAGTATGTATATTTAACAATATGTTCATACATATAAAACAATTTTTCTAATGTCTTATTCGTTGTAGATAGTTTATTGACTTTTTGTTTCCTCCATAATTGTATTTACAAGGTATGAATGTAACATTAATTTTAGAATATTTTACGGATTCAAGAAACACTATATGTATGTAGCATATTAAAATTAAAATATTTTTCAGATTTAAGAAACCGGAAGGAAACAAAAACGGACATCATGCTAGCTTCCTTAGTTGCTTCTGAATTATTGTACTTCTTAAGCACATCAAAATAAATTCTTGAGAGTTTAAACTATATTCCAGATGTGTTAGGTAATCTGTCCTCGCTCAAATTTTTGGTAATCTTAAGGTTTGTGTTTTCTTGTTGCTCGTTTAGATAATAAATTTAGATAGAGTAAGATTTTTGTTTTGAACTTTTATAAATATTCACTAAAAGTACATTGATAAAATAGAATAACCAAAAAATAGGAGACTCAAACACATATTTTAATTATATGACATGATAATGGTAAATACATACATCGTTCACTACAATGCCTAAACAAAATGGCAATCCTTGAATCGCTACAAAGTTCATCGAATTAAATCATGTTTTTACGCTTTTAAGCTTAAATTCAAAATAAATAGAAAATAGAGTTCCCAAAATTTTGAATGACGTGAAAAGCTTAAATGAAAAACTCGTAAATGGAAGAAATAAAAAAACTTATAAATGCTAAAGATTTGACTACATGTATTTATATTTTATTGTAGAATTCATGAGTAATATGATAATTTTTTTTAGAAAAGAAATTATAATGTCTTCTAAAAAAATTTAGATTATTTTTTAAGCTTCACAGAAAAAAAAAAAAGGATAGTTGGTATAATTACAGGATGTTTAGCCGTAATAATCACTCGGATTATTATTACTATTTTTATTCGAAACTATAGCATTTCACGTAGGAATAGATAGATGTAAAATGTTGTGAGTAAGTCTTAAAATGTACATGTGCAGCGGACACATAAGTTTTCAGCTGTATGAGGGACAACATCAGCAAAAAGCTACAGGAATAAAGAAAAATATAAGAAGCTTTAACACATGAAAGAAAGAATGGGGGGGGGGAGGCGGAAAGCAAACAAAATGAAGATGGTTGAATGACAATACTTCAATAACAATACGTTCAGCTAGAGTCTTGTCAATGGATACATCCAAAAAGACACGATGATTCTCTTTAGTTATCGTTACAAATAAGAAAAACACATCCGTGAGAGTTGAAGAAAACAATAATGGTCAGGATACACATACTGAAGCATTGTTATTCATGAATTCTAAAATAAAATATAAATAGAAATCAGAGTTTCCAAAATTTCAAATGACGTTGAAAAGCTTAAATGAAGAACTCGTAAATGGAAGAGATAAAAAAAAACTTATTAATGTTAAAGATTTGACTAACATGTATTTATATTTTATTGTAAAATTCATGAATAATATGATAATTTGTTTTAGAAAAAAAATTATAATCTCTTCTAAAATATTTTAGATCCTTTTTTAAGCTTCACAAAAAAAAAAAAAAGTTGGTATAGTTACAGATGTTTAGCCGTAATCACTCGGATTATTATTACTCTTTTTTATTCCAAACTATAGCTAAGGATCATATACGCTGGAAGCCTGGAAATATGGTTATCATTTGAACACCACTAAAATCAATAATGACATTATTTTATTAATTATTCTTTAATCTTAAGTTTAATTGGAAAAAAAAAAAATCTGAAGTTATGATTTATCAGCAGCACTGCACAACTCTACATATTTATTTTTATATAATGGTCACTTTTGTAAACGTTGACTTTAAATACCCAAATCATGATTATCACCTTCTCTAAAGATAAAAAATAATTTCATAATGAACAAATTTTTGAGGCTTTTGTTTAAGACTATTTGCGTGAACGATGATGGTCATTGTTTATTACGACTGAAATGACTAGATCAACTTCTTCTTCGTCAATGGATATGTTTCTCTTTTATCCATGTCAAGTCACATTTGTTCTATTTATTTACTTCCTATGCAAGAAGACTCATCGAAGCTTGAATTCTAGTAATTACTTCCTTGAGATCGCTCATAGTTTGCTTTTGGAACAAGTAAGTCTCTCTGCTCCTAATCATCATGCGATTCTTGGTTTCTGATTAGTTAATCTTACATAGGCAGACTTGATTACTTGGTCAGAACACAATTAGTTAAAAACATTGTTAGTATATATCTTCGACAACATGATCAGTTTGCTTTTCTAGTTCTTGGTTTTTTATATGTCTGAATGCCCCGGATCTCAAGATCCATGTAAACCATTTATTTGTCTAGAATGATTCGATTTTTTTGTTTGTCTTGTTTGCTACGATTGATTTCAATATGTGATCAAAATTCTAATCTCAATACCGAATTTTTTTAGATTATAGCAAACGTTAGTATCAAGAATCAAGATCATATAATCTGAGGAAATGTCAAATGTCAAGAGCATGTGCACGGTATTAACAAGGTCGATGCCAGCCATTGCCTTCTTTGGGAGAATGGCATTTGCTTTTGTCTTTCTCATTTCTGCTATCCAAGAGTAAGAAATTTTAAAATAAATCTTTGAATTCGGTTAGTTTCTTATATATTCGAATCCACAAGAGGCTTGATACTTGATTATGTTTAATTAGGTATGCTGATCATTTTGGCGATGGCGGGCCACTCGAGAAGACGGTAGGACCAGCCGTGAATGCGATGACCAAATACGGTTCTAAGGTTCTCACATTTTACTCTGGAATGCAAGTGGTTGTGTTCGATGTTCGACTTCTTGAATTCTCACTCATAAGTGCAAAAGCAACTGCAGCTTTGTGGTTCATCTTTGGACAATCCATCCCAGCATACTTCTTGGTAAGAACATAAATCTCTAGCTTACAAAAGTTTTTGTGCATCAAGATTCTAATCTCACAACTTGTTTTGACGTTTGATTCAGCTCGTAACACAAATGCTCTCAACTGTTGTTCCTTTCCCTACCAACTTGAATGACTTCACTCAGGTTAATTAAGCTATGTTACCACGTAAATCAATACATTGATTGAATCTCAAGGGTACTAATTTAGGTGATTAACAAAAGATTGTGATTGATATGCAGAACTTGACATTAATCGGGGCGTTGCTCTATTACATTGGATTGAAGCATAGTATCGACAACCTTGACAAGTCAGAGAAGAACAAGGATAAAGAGACAGAGGAAGATGACGAGGCCTCAACTTCCAAAGCAAAAGTAAACTGAACGTATCAAGTTCACAAACTCATTTCGCTAGTTAATTCCCATTATGTCTTTTAATTTCCTATATTTGACTTAATGTATCAGACGACTATTTGAGCTTATGGTTACTAAGAAGATGATTAAATTTTCGATCCAATGTGTTTGTCTAGTACTGTTATGTTTCCCAAACATAAAACTAAATATAGTTAGCTTGTATACACCAAAGATTGGACTATAGTTCAAGTACAAAGAATAGGACTTCAAATACAACAAAAACAACAAAATTATATAAGTTTTTTACAAAAAAATATATAAGTTTTTTACAAAAATATGCATTTCAACACTCTGATTAAACCCACCTACTGGTCTAGGGGTTTGGGGACACTCTTCGTTTGCTCGTGATTTTAATTAATTACACCAAAATAAATACTCACTGGTAGTGATAAATATAAGATATATAGTATAATCATAACCTAGTTTGTACTTAGTACAATTACAAGTTAAAAGAGAATATATGTATTGGTATTCTTATATATAATTAACATATAATACAGTTTTATGTAACTTTAGAAGAAGTTCAAATCTGCCAAAAAAATAAACAGTGAAGGAATTTGGAAGATATATGCAACATCATTGAGAAACTGTCATTAACAAGTATCTAATAGCGCCTTTGAACGAATATGAGAAAAATGAATTTCAAATGATAATTACATAATCACTAATCATGCACAACAAGACTTTTGCGATGGGCCCTTATTCTATTGGCTGGATGAAGTGTAACGTGGAGATTGAGAAACATATAGTAGTAGTAACCAATGACGTGCTTCCTAGTCACCAAAAAATGTTGAACGTGCTTTCTAGTCATGTATATATTTGGATGAGTGATGATGACTACATGTCGTACGTGTGGATAGTTTGAACTTTATATATATATAAGTTTATATCGTAATCAGATGAATGATTTTGACTAAACATGTTTTGTAAACAAGATAAACGGTAAACCGAATAAGCTAGCCACTAAAATCAAATAAGAATTGACATGATCAAAGAAGGGTTTGATAGATGAGCACTCATGAACGTTGTCAAACAAAATTCGAATACGTATGTGTGCTTAGTTTTAGTTATTTTAGTTTATAAATATATACATGTCTTTTAATTTAGTTTGTGGTCTAGAGTTTCTTTATTTGTTTTCAAGAAGAAGTTAGCATTAAAATTGTATTGCAAGAGTTTCCACAAAAGTCATGTCGATGGTAACGCCACATCCAAGTTCCAAACCTAACCGACGTTATCACATTTTAATTTCAGTGATATAAAATATAGGCTTTATAGTCAATAAATTTGACTTATAATAAGAATGTTAGCTAAAGTTTTAAAATAAAGGAAGAAAACAAAACAGCAACATAACAATTCAATTTATATATACAATAATTAGTGAGTTGAATAGGGTTCTTGTAATTGGTCTATAAACTCATTAACACACAAAACAAAAAACACTAAATATGAAACTCAAAAAAAAACTGATTGAGTTATATTTTATGTTTACTATATGGCTATATATGTAATGTTTTTGCATGTAGTTTTTTTTTGAAATTAAAAAAAAAACTATGTAATAAAATTAACATTGAGAAATAAAAAAAGAATAATAACAATGAAGTAGTCAAAAAGATAATAAAGAAACTGGCGGTGGCATGAAGTATCAGTTAAACCAAGTCCATTGGATCCTACTTCCCCCACTGGTCCACATAATTCTCTCATCAACGTCGGTTCATACATTGCTTTCTCATTATTTATTTCATTGTAATCATCGCTCTTTTATTTCTTTGTTTATGTGAAACAACTTGAAAGTGATCGGTGGTTTTAGACTCCCAGTAATAAAAAATCAAATTTTTGATAATAATATTTTAGGTGCGATTTTTTTTTAAAATGGTAGTAGTATAAGATTATACATATACACGCTATAAAATACAACAATTCAGTATAATTAAAAATTATTGAATATTTTATTTTACAAAAATAAAAAAAAACCAAAACATAGTCAAAAATCAAAATCTTGAACCAATAGTTTCTTCATCTTTATCAGCTAAACCATATAAATTAAAATTCTTTAAGTGCTCATGAATACATATATAGTTTAATTTTTTTTTTTGTAAAGAAAACGTTTTGAAGTCACTGACACGTAATAAGTCACATACCAGTCACTAATAAATGTAAATAAATTAAAATTTACAGAAAAATAGGTGAAAGAAACAGAGAATATTCCTCTTGAAGGAAAATAAAAATAAATACAAAGAAACAAAAAAAATTGAGAAATCCAGCAAAGCCACAGATAACCAAACAAAAATAAAACAGCTAATTCCTATCTTTTCATATATCTTCAGATTCAAGACTTTGACCACACATCTCTCTCTTTAATATATAACATATGCTTAGGCTTAACACACGTCTTACCTTTATATATATAAACACAACACATGCACACGAATCTTAAAGCATCTTCACAGATTCATCATTCATTTCAAGAAAACCTCTAAAAAAACTCTAAACATTAACCCTTCTTTATCGCAACACCACAAAATCTTTTTTCCACCTTTTTTCCGATTTTTTCCAAATCTTGATTATTTAGTCTTGTTTTCAAGAACTCGTTTTACGTTAATTCGAGTGTGTTTTATGTCGACGACGATGAAGAGACCGGGCTGCAGCTCAGATTCCGGCGATCGACGGCGGCAGTCCAGTCGTCTTAAAAAACGTCCCCCGGCGTTAAACATCGTTCCGGCGACTCCGGCGGCTAATAACTGGAAAACGGCTATACCTCTCCTCTCGCCGTTAGCTCTTTCTCCTGAAACGTCATTATCACCGGTCGACGAAGACCAACAGCCACCGGCTGAGAACCAGAAGGCTACGACGGCGGCGGTTGAGAAAACGCTGGTTTTCGAGAAATGGCAGCATCCGGCGGCGCCGTTCTATTACGAGTCATCGACGTTTGTTCCACCGTTTGTTCCGGTTTAGTATTGGATCCAACGGCTCAAAAGTACAGATTTTTTTTTCTTTTTGGTCATGTGTAGATCTAACGGCCCAGAAAACGCGTTTTGTTTTATCAAATCGCGTTTTTTTTTAATATTCTAGTGGTTGGAACAAACGCGATTTTCGTTTTAGAATTTTAATAAAATAAATATGATTATTAAATTTTATAAGCATGTTTAATTATGTTATTACTGGTCTCGTGGTCCGTAACGTATGAGGTAAAGTCCAACTTAGTTATTGTGGATGTCTCTCTGGACATAAGTGGAACGTTGTCGAAATCGAAATGTGTGGACAAAACTAATGTGGTCACAATTATTTAGGTTCCTATTATCCTATTGGCTCCAACCTTGTATGTATACCATTATATTGAGTATTTCCATATTTATGGTCAGAAACTAACCAAAATTAAGCATTACTCTACCTAGTTAGACAAAAACAAAAAGAATTGAGTTTACATTTTTCTTTAATAAAATAAATTAAAGTAAAATATATAAAGAAGACTTTTATTAAATTTTGGATATTTTTTTCAGTGTATAAAATCTAAAATGTGATAAAGTAGATTTAAAATATTTGTTTAATATAAAAAAATCTGGGCGACATTACAGACTGATAAAAGTGATAAATATTACAATTTAAAATATTGAAATAACTTATAAAAAAAACTCAATCTTAATGTTTTTTCCTATAAAAGAATTTGGCAATTGCAAAAATACAAATAAGAAGGAAAAAATTGGATACTTAAAAGTTTAAAGCCTAGCTACTTTAAATCTTCACAAACCAGGAAAAAAAAAAAAAACATGAAGAACTCTTATATTCTACTCGTAGTTATTGTTGTTGTCTTCATTTCTTCTTCAGGTAACTTATTTTGAATTTGCTATTATTGTTTGATATTTTAATTTCGTAGTTAAACTTAAAATCGGCATGCTAAATATTTTGTTGTGTTCTTGATTGGAACTTATTAAAAAACTAAACTTAAATATAAAAAAAGTAAGAATGGGAAAATAGTTTATATATTTTGGTTTTGAATGGGAAAATTTGTAGGAGAAGCAAAAGAGTGTTATGGTCGATGGATTTGTTCTCGTGAAGACAAATGCAAAGAAGAGTGCATGGATTTATACAAAGGAGTTGGGACCTGTCGTATGTATTCTTTTCCTTCTATCCCTACTCCGGTTCTTTCTTATATGTGTGATTGCAACTTTGATTGCTAACCAATGGAAGTAAGTACCAAAATCAATAGATCACATATGTAGATCGATGAAGAAAGGCGATATCATCAGTCCTTCTATTAAGATTGCTACTTCTCCAACGGTTGGTTAGAACCAACCATCAAGATTCAAGAATAGCCCGCACAGCTGTGGTCCAATGGTAAGGGAGAATTGGGGAAATGTTGGAAGGAACTAACACAGGTTCGATCCACCCTGGAAACAAAAATCATGGTTGTGTGGGAAATCTGTCAATTGGGCCAAGACCCAGTTGGTTTACCTGGTAGTCAGAAATGCAGGCGGCCTGACTACCCCTGCCATTAGTTGGAAGGAATTTCAAACTCGGGATAAACAGTGTAGTGGCCCTTCAGGGAGAAGTCCACTCTGAAGCATTTCGGTGCGTTTCTACCAGGACTAACCGGATCAGCCGATAGGGTTTATAAAAAAAAAAAAAATTCAAGAATAAGTTCTAATCATAGCAGTTTTGAACTTGAAGTGTAGTGATATATTAGCTTTTTTCGAGAAAGCAACTTCCCAAATTGATATATAGGATAGGAGATAGAAGATATCCACAACCCTAGTTCCATCATTTTAGTTATTTCCTTTTCGATGTATTAACTAAATTGGGCCTTACGATGGAAATGGACCTTACTTCGGAATAGGCTTTGGCCAGCAAATTTGTTATCCATTATTGATAAGGAAATAAATGATAACTTTTTTTTTTCTTTTTGTAACAAAAATAAATGATAACTTGAGTTAACTAAGTAACAATCGTGATGCATGTGCCAAGGATCCAAATAGAGACCACCAAAATCTAAACCTAAAGTTGACAAAAAAGAAATGATGGTAAGAAATGTGGGACTAAAGTTGTTGGCTCACCACGCCCTAATAATCATATTGTCTATTTATATTCTATAAGACTATAAAATTACTAAATAAGTAAAAAAGAAGATCTTATTTTAATTGAGGAATCGTTATAGAAATAACTAATGTATGTGTTTGTGAACTACTGTATAGTAATCTGAGATTCATTTGCAATATAACACCATTTATATTCTATTAAAATGCGAAAGAAAGATTATTATGAAGTCTATCAATTATTTGGCCAGTTTTTAATATTCTCGAAGTAAAAAAAAAACTAAAAAAAAATGTAATGGAATAGCCAAAATAAAATTAATTGTGTCTCTTTTTTCGGCATTGTTTAACCTCAGTTTAATTTGATATTTAATTGTTTATTGATAATTCATTATTACTGCCTTTCATACAAAACCAAAAATATAAAAACTCGAGTGTTTATTGATTTATTAATTTTAATTATATATATATACACATATATTATGATTTGATGATTAGGAAATCCCACTGAGATGGGAATCATCAAGATGTAGTATTCTTGTATGTTGTCTTTGTATGCTTTGTCTTCTCTTCACATGAAGAATTTTTTTTATAAGTCACCCAACAACTCCTCACCTCAACTAATTTTTATTTTTTTATCCTTTGGAATAGAATTTTATACAAATATTTCTTCTCTAATCAAACACGACACAACGAATTTGAATATTTAAAAATTCTAATTCCGTGTTGAAAAATATATGGCACTTGATTTTCAGTCTTTAAATATTTTCAAAATTAGGTCAACGAAACAAATTGGTTTTGAAGAAAATGGAGAAAAGTTATGTTAAGATTTTCTTAAGTTTTGTGAGTGTAAAATTAGGTAATCTTTAGCCGACAAAAAATCCAAAGAGAATGGAGACAACAAGAAGAACATCATCGGTCAAACAAATAGTCAACCTTTTTCAAGTGCTTATTATTACTCATATATTGGTCTCTCAAGTTATAATGATGTCATTACACACAAAATAGGTTTATACGAACTTCTATACATTATCTCTATTCTAAAGATTTCATCAAAAATTACAAAGTTTGAAACTAAACAAGCAACCAAATGAAGTTTAATACTCAGAGATATTAACAAAATTGTGGATAAACAAAAGAAATGTAAAATTAATTATTTGATATTGAATAGGTTGGAGTTCCCAAGATAATAAAAATGAATATAGGTTGAAATTTTTGAGTAAATTTTATTATTAAATAAATTGCTAAAAAAATGAAGAACATTAGTGGAGCAAGTACGAGCTGCACATCACTCCCTTTCAAACCAAATTGAATAAACAACTCTCTCTCTTCCTCTCTCTACTCCACTTTTCTCAAAATCAAACCCAAATTTCACAACTTTCAAAACCCTCTCTCTATCTCTCTCTTTCTACATCTCTCTAGTCTTTTAATTAGGGTATCTTACCATAATTTAGTATTAAATTTGGAAAAGTAGAGTTTAAGAGTTGTGATTTTGTTTTTAGTTTTTGGATGTATTTATTGGTAAGATCTTAAGTTGGGTATCTTAGAAAAAAATTATTTTAAAAAAATTTAAAAAATTTATAATTTGTAATTTAAGAAAATCTTATAATTATTGCAAATTTAGAATTTGAAAACATACATAAAAGATAAATTATAAGATAGAAATTATAACATAAAATACAATATTTTTAAACTTGATTGCGAGAAAATTTTGTCCATATATGCTCGACCAAAACGTTATTCAATTGTTGATGCATAGCTTGATCAAATATGTTATCAGATTAAATACCAATTTATTAAATTAGCGATTCAAACAACAAAATGATCCCATTTAACTTCAAAGGAGCATTGAGAAGCACCAAAGTTTTATATATAGGCTGAATATAACTCATAGTTATTGCTGTTACAAAAACTTCAAAAAATCAAAAAAAAAAAAAAACTAGTTCAGTTTTGGTCGATGAAATCAGCTGGCAAGTTCAAAATCCAGTAAAGTAACTTTGTTGTTTATGCGACATTTCGTTTTGGTTTCAAAGAGAGAAAAAAAAAAAACTGAGTAAAAAAAAAAAAGAATTTAGCCAACTTTTTTCTGCCACGTATGCGTATCTTAGACATATTTCTGTTTCTTATGCAACATACGTATCTTACCAAAAATTCACCTTTTTGATTTAAATTTAAATCCTAATTATTCTAAAATACCCTTTAAATCCTATTGATAATGATGGTCTTACGAGTTGGGGTCCAAAGTTGAAACTTTCTCTTCTCTCCTCCTCCATCTTCTTCTTCTTCTTCCTCTTAACCACTTTTGCTTTCCCCTCATCTCTCACAACTCCTCAAAAGCTCACGCCAATTCCAAACATCATATCACATCTTCTTTTTTTTCTGAGTACCGCCCATGATACCCAATGATTAAACCCTTTTCATGCGCGAATCCCACTTCATTCTTTCGTTTCTCGAGAAAGCTAAATGTCTTAGTCCAATAACCCTTTTCTTTTGTCCCTGGATCTGTTCTTACTCTTCGATAAAGATTCAAACTTTATTTGAAATTTGCTCTGTTTCCTCTTCAAAGTTTCGATTTTTATTTTGTGGGTTTTCATTTCACCATGGTTGCAGAAGCTTGGATTGTGAAAATGAGGAACCAAGTAAGTGCTAATCTCAAACACGCTCTTCTTCTTGAATCTTCAACTAAGAAAACCCCTAAACCAACCTCTCTTCCTAAGCAAACCATTGGAATCTTATCTTTCGAAGTAGCTAACGTTATGTCCAAAACCATTCATCTTCACCGTTCTCTGTCCGATACAGAGATCTCTAAGCTCAAAGCTGAGGTTTTTCGGTCGGAAGGAGTTAGAAATCTTGTTTCTTCCGATGAGAATCACCTTCTTGACCTCGCTGTATCCGAAAAGCTTGATGATTTGAGCCGTGTAGCTAGCGTTGTGTCTAGGTTAGGTAAAAAATGTAACGAACCTGCTTTACAAGGATTTGAGCATGTTTATGAGGATATTGTGAATAGGGTGATTGATTTTAGGAAGTTAGGGTTCTTGGTTAAAGATATGGAGAGTATGATTAAGAAGATGGAGAGATTCGTTAATGCTACTTGTAGTTTGTATTGTGAAATGGAAGTGATGAATGAGCTTGAACAAGCTGTAGTGAAGCTTCAACGAAGTCAGCAGCATCAAGAGAGTGTTAAAACTTTTGAACAGAAGCTTATGTGGCAGAGACAGGACGTGAAGAGTCTTAGAGATGCTTCGTTGTGGAACCAAACTTATGATAAGGTTGTTGAGATGTTGGCTAGAACGGTTTGCACTCTCTATGGTAGGATTGAAACTGTTTTTGGGGGTTTGGGTTTGAGAGTGAAAAAGGATGCGACTTTGAAGAGAGATCGTAGCAAGAATGAAGCTAATAAGTTTACTAATTCGAGATCTGTTGTGGGGTTTAAGGATCCGAGGAGAAGTGATGCAGAGGAATTTAGCCGTGCAGGGGATTTCAATTTCCCTTGTGGGACTAATCCTGGGAGGATGTTCATGGAATGTCTTGCTATGAATAGCTCAGTTTGTAGGACTATTGGTGATGATGATGATGATGAAGATGATGCTCGGATCACGATTCCTCTGAACACAGGTCGAATGATTCGGACTAGTAAGTTTGGTTTCAAAAGCAGATTAACTCAACATGCTTCAGCTTCAACGATTGGAGGATCCGCCTTATCTTTGCACTATGCGAATGTTGTGATTGTGGTGGAGAAGCTTCTCAAGTATCCTCATCTAATAGGGGAAGAAGCAAGAGACGATCTTTACCAAATGTTACCAACGAGTTTGAAAACAACGCTCAAGGCTAATCTCAGATCATACTTGAAGAACATTTCCATCTATGACGCTCCTCTCGCTCATGATTGGAAAGAAACTATAGACGGTATACTTTCTTGGCTTGCACCTTTAGCTCACAACATGATCCGGTGGCAGAGCGAACGCAATTTCGAGCAGCATAATCAGATTGTGAAGCGAACAAACGTTCTTCTACTTCAGACGCTTTACTTTGCTGATAGAGAGAAGACAGAAGCGGCGATTTGTAAGCTTCTTGTCGGGCTAAACTACATTTGCCATTACGAACAGCAGCAGAATGCGTTGCTGGACTGCGCGAGTAGCTTTGATTATGAAGATTGTTTCGAGTGGCAGAGCCAATGTCGTGCATCTTACTTGGACTAACAGTTGGGGGGTTTTATTTAGTGTTGTTTTATAGATACATTTGTTTATGATTCAACACAATGTGAATATGTAAATCTCTAGTTTCGTTTGCATACATAAAAAATGATTGTGAGAATTGAAGTTTAAGTTGTTGTTTACTCCAATCTTGGAGATAGTTTAAATCATAGTTGAAGAATCTGAACCTTCTTGAAGAGTTACAATAAAAGCCAACCCAACAAGAGAGAGATGTGTTAGGTGATGAAGGCATTTAATCCGAGAGAGATTGGGTGAAGAAAAGTGCATTGATGTTTTTGTTGAACCAAAAACCAAACCAAAGCTTCACAGTTTTGTGGTTGAGATTTTTATTTTGTCAACTCTGAGAGCGGCTCTCAAGACTAGCCTGAGACTTTCATTTATTATTGGCATTGATTGTTATGTGTAGAAGAAATGAAAAAGATTTAAATTTATTGGGCTAAGGCTTATTGGTTTTGGGCCTCAACACTTTACTTTGAATGATATCTGAAAGAGTTTGCTGATACATTGTTTTGTATGAACATAATACAAAGCATTGTTTTGAATGACGTGATCACTGATCACAAGCAAACAAACAACAAGTTTGGATCGAACTAATTGACCATTTTTTTTGGGATAATACGAAGAGACTATTTTAGCTAGTTGTGTGCTTAAGTGCTTTGTATGTTGTACACTTGTACGTAAGAGCAACTAGAACTTAGAAGGAAAGCAAAAATGATGAGTTAGGTTCACATACTATACAATTTTGTTTGGTGTAATCACATCAATACCAAAAGGGTGAGGACATGATTAACACATGTCTCTTTTTGTATTTTGTTGGAATGAATGAATTAAAAATAGACACCGAACATCGTTCTATTTGCGAGTGTGTGTAGTTGATGGTGACGATGATATTCACATTCCGGAATCTTGAAAGACTTTTCTACTCTTTGCAAAAATCATTAGAATCAAACTTGGTTGGTTATTTTGACCAGGGAGGATCAACTTTGGTCTTCATCTTGTAGCTCAAGCCATTATCATTTATGCTTCATAATGGCAATTTTTGTTTGGTTGACTAATAGCCTAAATAAACATTCTTCTCTATAATCATTTTCACTTAGAATTTGTGAACAAATAACTAACAATTGTATCTTAACAACCCAAACTTTTAAAGATCTTTATATACAAAGTGCTTGAATGGTAACGATTATTAGGGTAGACAAATTCGTTTAACGGTTTTGTTCATTATTTTTTAACAAACAATTGACCGCTGCGTACTAACACTATAATATGTAAAAATTGTTTATCATTGTTCTGTGACGGTTTTTTTTGTTTGGATCTACAACGCTATGGATATAAGTTATGAATCATAAGAAAAATCGAATTCAATTTATAAACAAAATTGTCTGTATTAATCACCGCGACCATTAAATCTAAAAATTGAATCTTATGTTAGAACCGATTAACAAAATATGAGTAAATTTTAACATATAAGTAATAATTTAATGCCGGTTAATATTTGAATGTTTGGAAGTAAAGTTAAAGTGGTTGGTAATCTATTTGGATGATGATTGTTTTTACTGTAGTTTGTCACATAATTAGTATTTTTTTCTCTTTCACTAATAATTTCACTACTAGTCTGTAAAGATTGTCGGGTTCGATGAAACAAATATATAAGCACAAGTGGGTTTTTGATGATTATATAATTGCTAAGTTATGTAAACCCATCTCTCCTCTTAGATTCACTTTCTGGCAAATCCAATCCAATTCTATACTTTAGTTTAATAGGCTCGAGGAATGTGCTGTGTTTTAGATTTGATTAGTTTTAAACTTTAATCAGTCTTCACTAGTCCAGGGGGCATGTATCTAACAATTTTTAATATATACTATATTCTGATTATAACTGGTTACTAAATAAAGTCATACATTTACCTTTGTTTGACAAGTTTACAAAGTGTCAGACGACATTATCTACAACTTGACTCTAAATTTTGTGAAAATATAATCAAACTAGAAAAAATAACTTAGATAATCTTTGATTATGTGATGTGATTACGCAAAATTTATAAGCACTATTGGTAAATTATTCTATATTTTGTTACTCCATAACTTTAGATTACGTATATGCTCTTAATTAATATTAGAACTGAAGTTCTGTTCTTGAGACTCTACGAAATAGTAAAATACTAAGATTCAATGCAATTTCCTTGGGGTCCTAATGAGAAAAAGAACAAAAACTAGAAAAATATAAATAATAGAGATATGAGAGGTGGTATATAATAATAACAGTTTGGTTTTTGATATATTTGACATAATAATTTCTATGGTGTAAAAAACTAAAAAAACAATGTTGTTAAGTTGTGTGACCAAACTTAGAGAAGTTGGTCAGCTTGCAACAATACTCTTCGTAGCTCACTCTCCATAGCTCTTAACACCACTGGCTTTCTCACAACTCCGTTGATGCCAATCTGCCCACACTTGTCCCACATTTCTTGGTCTAAGCTCACTGTTGTCGCCACTATCAATGGCCAAGATCGGCTCCTGATCCTCATGGCTACTTCATAGCCGTCCATCTCTGCCATTTGAAGATCAAGCACCACCACTTGGAAGGACGTAGAAGAGGATGATGAGCTAGGAGCGATAGCGGTGAGGCAATCGAATCCAGAGGATACCGCGGTTACATCGCATCCAAGTTTTTCCAAGAGTTTACGCGTAACTGCCCGGTTCGAATCGTTTGAGTCTACTAAGAGGACTTGTAAGCCACGTAATATAGAATTAGAATGAGGGTGAGCGTGGTGGTCAGGAGCTGGCAACTCGCTGGATCCATGGACTGAAATGGGTCTGCGTCGAAACCGGAGGAGCAACGACATGGTCTCCGGTGAACCGTCCGAGCCAGGGACTACCGAGATATTTCCATGAATCAACTGCACACATTATCAAAGAACACATAATAAGTACTCCTAAACCAAATCTAAGACTAATGACAAGGTAACATCATAAACTAACCTGCACCACTTTCTTACAAACGCCAAAGCTTAGATCTTGTCCTAACCCATAGCCGCCGGAGAATCTCATATCGCCAACATCGTGATCTCTTGACGAAACAGAAGCAAATGATTGAGAACTTGAATCATCATTCTCTACATTCATTTCGAATCTTATATACACATCTCCATCTGCTGAAGAGGCTGGTGATCTCCATGCAGCCCATCTTTGATCACTCCGGTCCAAGCTTCCTCTTTCTTTCAAAACCTTAAACATCACTGAAGACCCTTCTTGACGTTTTCTAGGCTTTACTAAACTACCAACCATATGAAGTATCACTTGAAAGACCCTTCTTTCGTCGCCTACTACATTATCCGGTAAAGACTTCTCCGCATCAACCAAGAACCTGAATCCATTGCATAGACACAAACATCTCGCCATACAAGCTGCTTCATGGATAGTACGATGCAGACTAAACGGTTTCATCTCCGTACCAAATCTACCATCAGACACATCCATCGAGTCCCCCACCAAATTCGACATAACGTTCCCCGTTTTCACCATCGTATCAACAATAATCTTTTGCTCATCACTCAACTTCTCGTCTTGAATCATCGACAATAGCCCGAGTATCGAATGCATTGGACGCCTCATCCCTTCGCTCATCGTTTTCTGAAATGTATTCCTCGCTTGGCTCGCTCTCAACGCGTTCCTCTTCGCCATTTGCAATGCCCTGTTCTGTTCCGCCAGCTTCTCCCTCATAAGCTGAGACTCCTCCAAAACAGCTGCATGATCCAACGCAACCGTTACTTGATCCGCGACAACCTTAACAATCTCAATATCCTGGTAAGTCCAATCCCGAGGCTGCCCACTCGGTAACACACATACAAGTATCGCATAAGTCGGCTCTCCATTACAATCCGACACACGAAGCATCGGCATTCTAATCGCAGCAACGGGACCAATCTCACTCACATCCCCGCCACTAGCTCGAGCAATGGACGACTCAACACTCAATATATTCACTTCATCACTCTCCCTAATACTCACAACATCTAAATCCTCCATAGAAACAGAACAACCACCATAACCACCCCTCCCTCTCAACTCATGAGTCAAATTCAATTCGGTTTTACCGTCATTCGGCATCCAAACCGCGCAATTCTGCAACTCCAGAGTCTTTGAAAGCTCAACCAAAGTAGTATAAAGAATCGTATGACGATCCAACGACTTACGAATCTCTTGGGTAAGCATACGAACATGAAAGCCAGTCTCTTTCTTGATCATAATCAAACCCACTTCACGTCCAAGCTCATGAGCCTTCTTCTTAAGCATAAACTCCCTAACTTTAACTTTCAAAAGCAGAGGAATCAAAGTGATAAGCGTGATCGCAGTAGCGCAAGAGACCAAAGCAGTCAACATCTTGAAAACAGTCAACGCCATCATCAATCTAAAAGGATGAGCAGAGTAAGTCCAACCATGGAGGAGATGAGTCATGCCACAGAGAACAATGAAGGCGATGAACTCAAAGAGTACCCATTTGAATGGAACATTGGAACAGCTCACGAAGTAGAGTAACTCTATTGGGATTGAGAAGTAAGCTATTGCGATTAAGAAATCGCTTACTCTTTGAGTCTCAAGAATGTTCTCTGTACTCCAGAAACTAGTTCCTTCGTCTTCGCAGTTACACCGTGGATAGCCACCGCCGTTTATGGCTATCGCCGGCGAGACAAAGATCACCATTGATAGTATCAACAATCCAGAAGCTATTTCTCTAACCATCTTGGGAAAAAAAAAATGCTTATTCCATCAAACTCTGCAACTGTAAACAAAGAAAATTAACAAAGATTAAACAAGAAACAGAGTGAAAAATCAAAACTTTATGTTCATATCAAACCAAAAAACAAACAGAGAAAATTTAATATTTACAAAAACCCATTAGACAATTTTAATTCAACGATGAAGGAAATTTACAAATGTGGAAAAAAAATCAAAACTTTAACTTTGCAAATGTAAAGAAGAGAGATTTACAAAAACCCATTAAAATTAAGACATTTTGGTTCAACAATTAGACACTAAACACTAAACAAAGGGTAAAAAATCAAAACTTTAACATTGAAAATGAAATTCTAAACTTTGGCAAATGTTAAAAAGAGAGATTTACAAAAACCCATTAAAAAATGAGACAGTTGGATTCAACAAATTAGGAA